GCCACTTTCATAACTTTTTAAGAACACGATTTTGTAAGGACACCATAAAGCCCAAACTGCATGCACCGATCCTTTTCTTGACATATGCAAAATTATGATTTCACCGTGTACAGTTGTACACTTACAATTTTATACAATTTTGGGATACACATGATTCTCACACAAATCACAAATTATCAAACATCACACCTCTATCAAACCCTCTCTGGCTGGCTCAGGCAACCATTAACTGATTAAAAGGTTCTAACATCTCCACACTATAGACGACAATCTGACAGATACTTAAACTTAACCCTTTACATTGGTTTGGATTGTGAGAGTTATGGTAACACTAAAAAACATTTTTTTTTGGGGGGGGGATTGTAGCCTTCGACTTGTGCAATACTTGTACATTAATGGCCACCACACTTCACTTCATAAGATTTTTCAATGTCCACAACTATATGTATATAAACAATTATACACAACGATATCGATATCTAAATACAAATCTAGAAAGTGATTTTGATGACCTTTTTTTCAGTGGAAAAAATTTTCATATTTATAACGTATTCTGAAAATGCATATGCAAAGACACAATTAATAAGTTTAATGAGGTAAAATTTATGCACGAGTTTAGATGTGTCAAGATGCATGATAGCTCTAGCCTTAAAGCGTTATGGGCATGGCTAACAGGACAACAACTTGCAGACATACTGCTATGAGGGTCTGAAAAAAACTTTGGCATCCAGCAGGTTCAGAGATGAACCCTGCCGAATGGGAATGTTAGACTTACTCCTGGATTCTAAAAAATCCTGAACTATTTCTTTGTTGATCATTAATTGAAAAGCGGAATTTTTAGGTTCTTTGTCAAGATTTTTGAAAGACAATTTTCAGTTTCTCAAATGCGAGTCAGTCTTCAAGATCAAGGTTTTGACTTCAATAATGCTGATACCTGTATTAAACATTCTCAAAGAAAGCTCCCACAAGGAATACACATGTAAAAATATATATTTAAAGCTATAATTCTACCCAATCATAAGTTATGGGCAAGATTGAAATTTTTGCAGACAAATAGAATAAAATTATACGGCCTAGAATATTAATTTATTTTTCTAACATGACAGACATGCATTCTCTTGTTGTCAACCCAAGCAGCTGCATAAGTAAAGCGTTTAGCACACTTAAATGTACAACAAGAGAATGCATGTCTGTCATGTTAGAAAAACAAATCATGCCAGATGACTTTAATGCATATATATTTTATTTTATATTAAGCAAAATGGCACAAATGGTGATTTTTCTCTAATTTTTTGTCATTTTGTTTTACCTATTAAAATTCACATGAATATTTTTCGAAAGTTTATATTACACTTTTAGCACCAAGCTAACATATTCTGAAATTTGTTTTCATCTGTACATATAAACCTTTTATAAACCTTAAACCTTTACTAAGTGTGATTTGTCCATATTTGTAATTTTATTGAAATATTGCTAATATTTACCAAGTCTATTTTATTTTCAAGTCTTAGGAAAAAAAAAATTCAAAGAATTATCCACCTATCTAAACCTGTGGCATGATATTAAGTCTCCTCCAAAAAAAAACAATGTCTGTATCATCTGTCCTCGATCAAATGCTAATATTCATGTATAATACAATGCTAGTACGTGTATACTCTGAGTACAAACAGGGTTGTCCCCAAGACCTGTGGGCCAGGGGAATCCCCTGCCTATATTGATCCAATTATTTTGTTATACCCTTTAAAAATCCCCAGTAGTCCGTCGTACACGATTTCTTTCACATTTATTCTATCATATGTGTTTGTTTTCTTTTTCCCTTTATTTATCTTTCATTGTTTTATTTTCTGATTAAGTACATGCATTATAAAGCATATGATATACTTGTGCCTGTGACTTGAATTTATATACTAAAAATGTTTTTCATTTTCCGAGTGTACCATATATTCTAAATGGTGTTGAGTGAATAAATGAACTTTAACTTCTGGAGGAATCCCATATTATTCTACAGCTTGGTTTCACTGGGCATCTTAACAAACATCTTTTTTAAACATCTCTTTTCCTTCACTAAAACAATATAATGGCAAGTCTTTTGTCTTCATAAACCGTATACATTGTACAATTCGTTATAATCTTCTGCAAAGGAATTACCAAGATTTACGTTTAACTTTACAGCCGTTCGTTTCTCGAATACAACTGAGTCAACCATTTTTGTCATCTACATAAGTGATCTACATACTGACGTCATTTACACATTGTGACGTCACAAACGTAGGGCAAAAATTTCAGTATAAATGTTATTTATAGAACATATGTACGACTCTATGTGTGCCAAATTCCATTCTGATCGAAATTGTGCATGGTTTTGTAAATATGAAACATTTTGATCACTCCTCGTATATATATGTAACACCAAAAAAATAAGCCCTTATGTGCAAAATCTTTAAAAATAAATATCATTTTTTGCGAAACTATTTCTACAACATGTAAAAAGTAAAACAAAATTAAATCTACTACTAATACATGTAACTTGCGTCGAAATCCCCCCCAAAAATGAATATTTTCTTTAATATATAACTTCTTTACTAAATCTTTACTTACAAAAAAGTTACAGAGAGCGCACCTTAAACTCCAAATAAGATAAGAAAGAAACTTCAAAATGCATGTATAATGTTCCAAATTCACAACAACGCACTTTTTTTTATTTACTCGTGTAATCGTGCAGCAAATAATTTTGAAGCAATTGTCGTGTCATAGACCATTCCTATTTATAACCACTCTTCAATGACTCCGAATACTTCTTTTGATTTAAATTTCTGTGTCAAAATAATTCTTTTTAAAACTTAAGGCCGTACTGCAGATCGGTAAAAAGAATTCTTTAAACTACATGTATATAGGACTCAATAATTTACACAACTCTCAAGTTACAAAACGATCAGATTTTGTATGGAAGGAATTTCTACTGTTCTTCTTTTCTGATATCCCATATCTAGCTAGATATACAGACTTTAAAGGCTCTCAATATGCACCTCGAGCTCAATATTTCTCCTTGACATTATTCCAATTTTTTTTTAAAGTTATCCCAATATATTTTTATTGATACAAAAGTCTGTCTTTTCAGTATTGGAAGAAGGACAGAGCTCGAATGTAGGGCCGATAAGGCTTGCATGATTGGTGCATGAGGCAGGGTTACATGTAGCATTGTCACAAGCAGGGCTTTATCTGTAATTATTTTTTTTACCAATTTAGTTGCTTATCATTCAAAAACACAAACTTCATCCCTTTTAAAAAAAACTACAAACCATCACAATGTTCCAAATCGGGAAAAAATGACAGTATATGTTCTAGATTGTGGATCAAGCAAGACTGATTGGCTGTCTGAATCAGATGCATGGCAACTGATTGGCCTGTTTCAAGCTTTTCAGCTAACGAAGATACTAACTTACATGTCAGTACATATCTTTAAAACATTAAGCTTCAAAATGTGAATCAGTGTATGTATATATATGTATAAGTAACCCCGTTGCTCTGATGCTATCGTTAAGTGTTGTGCTGCATTAGTTATAAATATTCACTAAGAGTTGAAACAGAAGAAGAGACTGGTTATCAGTGTCGGAAAAATTATCACAAGGTCTCTGCTAAAGGCCAAAGCACCGACCATTCAGTTTTTCTACATACCGGTACTTCTGAAAATATGAGTCTATTCCCATTAGATTTCCTGGAATTTCAGGCATAACTCTGACAAGGGTTTTTTTCTGTTTCTCTATGACTTTTTGTAAACTACCCCTTACAAAAAAAATAATAAAGTTAACTAAAGTTTACTATAGAAAACTATAGTAAAAAAAACTAAAGTAAAAACTTCAGAACTTGGAAAACTTTTGAACTTTGATTTATTTACAATAGGGAAAACGTTTGGAACCTTGATTTACCATAGTAAAAACTTTGGAACTTATGATTATAACTATTTTAATAGTGAAAACTTTAAAACTTTGATTTACTTTGTTGAAAATTTTGGAACCTTCATATACTACATGTGTAATGAAAACTTTGGAACCTTAATTTATTTTGGTGAAAACTCTGTCAGTGATACTTTGATTTACTATAGTAAACAAAGTAAACTATAGTTAACTATTATAGTTTCCTAAAGAATTTTTGTTAGGGGTGCTACAAAGAGCACTTAGGCCTTATATAGAAATGTTAATAATTTATTTACCCTTTGAGAAGTTGTACTACTAAAACTGTATGAGTCATTGACTTTGTGTTTCCATAAATATGAGACCGTCGATACCGTGATAAACATCTTTTTTCGGGCTTTCTATTTTTGCAAACCAATGTTTAAAAAAAAAACGGGGATTTATAGTGACTTCCTTTGGATTTTCTGCAATTTCAAAATAATTCTTAATAATATGGAAAATATACATTTGTGTAAAACCATTTATTTTTGTTGAAGCTTAATATTTTTATTGTTTTCATTTATTTTTTTTATTTCAAACATTTTTATTGATTGGAATTTTATTGAATGCTTATCAATTGAACTTATTCGGTTTAGTTTCCTCCTATTTGTTATAAACACATTGTAGTACTACTGAAATGAAATAAGCTAAAACAGATATTAAACTGTTGTAAATGGAAAATACTTAGAATCAACAAAAGTTAAGTTAAAAGAAAAAGTAAATAAATGAAATATGTAGTCATAAAATGTTGTATCTGCTAAGATAACTTCGATTAACGTCCTTTCTTATGTAAAGCCACCATGCTTAGCGTGATTGAGATTTAAAATTTTCATGTTAGAATAACATACTACAGGCTGGGCAATCCAAGGTTTAAAAAAGAATACAAAATGTACCTAATATGCATGTACACTTCTCTGTCCTTTAATTCAAAATATCATTCAGAAATATAACGTACGTACATCAATTTGATTAAAATTATTTATATATAGATTGATTTTGCTCGGTTTTTATTTCCTGTTTGTCTTTTTTTCAAACCAGAAAACCCCCACTTACACATCTTCCTGGTGTATGTTTGTGGATTTTAGAATAAGTAGTAAGTCTATGAAAGCTAATCTTTTTAAAAGTTTTTTGTCATCATATTAAAAGTTTTTTTAATCATGAATTCAATCGGTTTAAATATATACATGTACATGTATGTACGTATCAACCATGTTCATCAGACTTGAATGAGAAAGAAATGATTCATTTATTAGAAAAATAAACTGAATACTGAGTATCATACATCTAGATGTACATCATGTCTGACATTTTTTTTCAAAGCAGTATATACGTTCTATATCATTTAAAAGTTGCTGTCTAAACTCGTTCGATACTTAATACTCTGATTTTTAATTAATACATATATCTTGATTATTTGTAATAATTTGGAGATCCCTGTCCTCAAAAACTTCATAATCATATACAATGAATATACATATATACGTGCTATTAACAATTAGTAAATTCTAATAGAATTTTCAAAGATAATTGTACATTTTATTTATACATGTATGAAACACTCTTCATTCTTATTGATACTTTGCATATCCTGACTAATATAACTTTTCATTCTTGGCAAAAAGCAAAATGAACACATCGTTAAAATAATCATTGAAATAATATAAAAATATACAATAAATTAATTTGGAAAAAAAAGTCATTTCTATATAAGCCTGCTTATATTAACAAGACCACAATACAAAAAAAATTAAGTCCAAGGGTCACAAACTTGATTCATCTTAGCCGTGTTTATTTTTATCAAATTTGTTAAGGATTGTTTCCTATTCTCATCCTGACCTTGCTGTACTTGAAAAGAACATTAAATTGTCTAAAATACGAAATATTTACTATTAACATGATTAAATTATTTATACTTCATTTATCGTTGATCCCTTAAATTTGGCCCCATCCTATTACATTTAACCCCTGCCGATCGGTCCCACTCGCCTTGTGCTCCTTGTCATTTGATAGGGAAATAACGGGAAAATCCGTCTTAAACTAAGTGTATGAATAATGAACTAACAATTACTATTATAATAGTATTATAAAAAAACATCAGTTAACATTTGACTCAATAATTTTATCGGCCATAGAGCTTAAAAAATGATGACTTTAAACGTGATTGCTGACATTTTTGTTTCAACAACAGTTGTTGAAACAAAAATGTCAGCAATCACGTTTAAAGTTGAACTTGTTTGTCAATTATTTACCTAATGTTTTAGAAATTGTTGATACGTAGAGCATGCTTTAGAGTATCGAATAAACTGAGATATATATAAACCCCGTATGCAGGTGGTGAATGTTTATTGCTGTATAAGAAAGGTTTACGATCAAAAAGTTAGAGTCATCACATTTATCATAGAGCTTGGTTGTTAGATTGCCATTAAAGGTTTTTTTTCAAGTACAATATCCAAATATGAAACAAATGTGTCAGACCCTGTGATATCTTTTATCTCAAGCTCACCAGGATTTTATCCCATCGACATAAGAATGGAAATTACCATTGTTAATTAACAATACGTCGTTGATCTAAGATCTAAAAAAAAAAAAGAATTTCCCTATTTAAATTACTATGTAAAACTTTGAACACCACCTTCAGCACAACGGCTTTAAAACAAATGCACAAATGCTTGTAATGCTTTATCTTCCTGCTTGTCAAGTCATTGAATTTGCTTTTGTTTTAGATTTCCTTCAACCGTTTGGCTCCGGAATCGAGACTAACCATGGCTCAAAAGGAACGTAATGTTGATAGTGGTATTTTTGATGGTGAGGAATGTGCTAAAATTGAAAAATCATCATCGAAATCAAAAGGATCTGGAATATTTCGTACAATATCTAAAAAATTTGGATTTAGTAACAGAAAAACTCCCTCAAAGTCGACAGTTTCTACCAAGAATCCCAGTAAAAGAAGCTCTCCTTCTCAGTCTTCAAGAAAATCGTTAAACTATTCTCCCCACTCCCTCCTTCAAACCAAGGACTCGGTTATGATTGGGCCTCAATGTGAAACACACGAAATGAAAGAAGCACCTGTCTCAGCTCCACTTATGAGAAAGAAAATGTTCTCTAATTTAAGCACTTCAGGGGTAGGGTGAATTCACCATGCATCGGATACCCTTGTAGTTCAACAAGTTCTAGCGATATCGCTACCGACGGAAAATTATCAAAATGGAGTTTAACATTTAGTTTGTGATTAAAATATCAATTTGGGACACAATTATATGCCCTTTATTTAGAAAATATCCTCAAAAATCGAGTTTTTAGGAATAACTCAAAATTCACCATGGATCGGACATTGTTTACCATGCATCGGACAGACGGTATTTTGACTGGATAAATATCATACCTTTATTAAAGTGCTTTAAAATCCTTGATATGGATATATTTTTATCTTTTATCTAAGAATTAACCCTCAATTTAAATCTAATTGACGATATCGTTGCACAAATGTAGAACGATTCAAGAGACCTCACTCTGCCTTAAAAATGCTTTAAAATGCTTATAATGCGGTAATTCGCGCCTTTTTTCATGGTTTATCATACTCTGGTTTGTAGAAATAAATTGAGTCAAATTCCAGACGTCATACATCGATAACCTGTATTTTGACTGAAAATATAGAGTTTTTATTTTCCTTTTCCGCAAAAAACAGCTATCAGCTGGGTTCTGTATGAAAATGGTAGTGCTTACCTTTGCATCGTAAAGTGTCCGATGCATGGTTAATTTGTGTCCAATGTACGGAGAAATGAACATACTAGTGAAAACCAGCTTTTAAAAGAATTATACGAACATTGAAGTGAAATTTCTTTAAAATTTATGTAAAATTATCAATCTTTGACTTTATTCACCAAAGTCTGCCTCGTTCCGTTGAAGTCGAATTTTAAGAACGATAACTCTAAAAATCGCAAAATCTTAAATTCCTGGTTGTTCCCCTTTGATGATGTAAAATATGACGTAACTTCAAGGCCATTCTCGGGGTATTTTTATCACAACATGATAATAACAATCGGTATCATTAAAAAATTTAAGTCTTCAGCTTCAAGACAGAAACAAATAAATACACGGAACTCTTAAGTTGAAAGAGGGTTTATTGTCTAAAGTTGTCCGATGCAAGGTATGTGTCCGATGCATGGTGAATTCACCCTAAATAAAATGTCGCCAGCAAATAGACTGGGAAGGTCCAAAATACACAATTTCTTGGAGGCACCAGCTGTATGTAAGCTTAAGATAACAAAAGATGCGCAAATTCAGGTTCGAACATCATCAAATGTAGTGGACGAACAACACACAGCAAACGAATCAAAGTACAGAAACATTCGCAAAATGCCTTATTGTCATGAAATGTTTTTTGAAAATGTAATAAAAGACGAATTTCCGACTGTGAAACTACTAGAAGCATACGAGGATGAGAAACGAGGGACTGGAAGGGCTTTTGAGGAAGTTCTCATGGAAACTGGCTGCTACATTCAATCTTCGTGGCTTGTACGAGTTGCAGTTAGATTTTCACAGAGATCCAATGAGGCTTGGCTAGACAACTTTCTTCGTAACTTTATAGACAACAGCAACCACGTCTTAAAGAAATGTTTCGTGGAGGAGGTCAAGAACCTGTTCTTGAAAGTCTATAAAAACTCGATCAAGATTTATGATATCTGGGTTGGATACTCGAACGTGTTGGAAAAAGAGAACCTTCGTTTCGATACCCTTGTTGTTATCACCCACACAAAAATTACAGACAAATTAAAAGTGTCAAAATTTTGCGGTCTTAAAGTTGATTTTCGCGACAAAAATGCATGTTCAACTGAGGCAAAGGCCCTTTTACAACATGAAAGTTTAGTACCGTTAAATTTTCAAACACTATTATCAGACACTGCTATTGAAGTTTTGGTATCAAAGCATTCAAATGTAACAATACTCACACAATCTGGCATCAAATCCCGGGGCTTTAACTCAATACACCATCAGATAACAATGTGCCCATGCGTTGTAATCCACTGTAGAGTTAAGGGAATCGTCCCATTTGGAGAATCCCCATTTCCTCCAAAGATAGGAGAAATCCCCGTGGATGTACGGGAAGGATTTTGCGACTTTGCAAGCAGTCAGGACAAATTACAATTGGGACAAAGAATAGGACCCATGAACAATCGTTTTGACTTTGGTACGCTTGGGGGATTTGTGGACCTTCCTAGATCCAGAAAAGGTTTCATAACGTGTGCCCATGTTGTCTGTCCGAGCGATATTCTCCAAAATGGAAATGTTCAAAACTTTGTCGAAAATAATGCAGTGATGATAGCTGATAAAAGCATTACAACCCCGAGTGAACCTGTCGGAAAGGTGAAGAAAGCAGCTTTTCGATTTGGAAAAGAAGCACAAGTAAGCGTTGACGCAGCCTTGATAGAATTACATGCATGTTCGCGATTTCCAGAGAACGGCAACTTCGCTTTTGACTGGACACAAGATAACAAAGAAAGGATTAGAAAGATGGGTAAGTTTAAAAGAAAAGTTGGTCTTTGAAGACATGCACATGAAAATGTACATGCAGTCGTTTGGCCAATACCGAATTTTGACCAGTTCCGATTTTTTTTTATTTAAGAGCTGATAACTGATAAATTCAGCAGTGTAAAAATAAATTAATACCTATGGTAAGAAGGCTTATTGATATGAGTGTTTAAAGTATGTGAAGTTTTGATTTTTTGCCGTCAGTTTGGTTTTGTTATTGTAATTGAACAGTCGACATACTTTTACAATGCAACAAATCTGAATCACCGCGACGCGTAAGTCTGCAGAAAAACATCTGTAGGGACATATTTTTTTCACATAAAACAACACTTCAGGTACCAAGAGTAAGTTTAACAAAATTAATACAAAAAACTTGTGTAAAATGAATATTTAGAACACTGAAAGATATCGAAATATTTTCGTGTTGTCATTTCACTAGTTTCGAATACCCATTTTAAACATTATTATAAATTCATTCTTCCTTGTTTTCTTCATTGTAAACGTGACTTATTTTACCCCCTCTTGAAAGCAGTGGGAGGGGTATATAGTGATAGGGTATTTGTCCATCCGTCCGCCTGATACGCTTTTGGGGTACCCATTTCTTACCCGAAATTCCCTTTCTACCATCGAATGGAATTTATAATGAGGCTTCACAAAATTTAATGAGGCTTTTACAGAATCTTTGTTAAATAGTGGCAAAGCGTACCTTCTACACTGTATTTTTTAATCTGACACATAATTTAGGCTCCCGTAGCAAAACATGGATACTGCCATTCTTTGTAATATTGAAGGGTTTATCCATCTTTTGTCCGCAATTCCTCCTATACCACTGAAATAGATTCAATGATACTTTCACTGATTCTTTATTACATTGTGCCATTGTGTCCTTTTGATCCGACACTTATTTCGGGTCTCCCGGAGCAATACATGTACTTTGTCATAAATAATCATATACATGTAGTAGCTAGGCTTTGGGTATCATTACAGTGAGCTCATTGCTCACAGTACTTCTAGTTTCTCTTTATCTTTTGGAAATACAAAAAACTTATTGGTTAGCAATTAATTTTAACTTTTCTTAGGCATGCCAGTGGATAATGAGTGGGACATATATATATTTTTAATTTAGGATTGAATTGAATGGAAACCACTAGGGTATTCGGAACTCGTCGGCTTATTCGTTACTGATAAAATGAGTACCTATGTTAACTTGCGAAATATTTGTGTGTGTGTGTGTGTGTGTGTGTGTGTGTGGGAAGGCTGAACTTTTATAAAACAATATTTAATTTCACAAGTCATTGAACTTCTACCTTGACAAAAAACTTAGATTTTGAAATAATGCCTAGCAATTAATAGAACCGTCAAATCGTTTTTTTTTTATTCGGAACTGGTCAAATAACTGTATATATACATTTTTTTTTCTTTTTTTTTTTTACAAAATCAGCTAATTTAAAATGCATTTTCCTTTGTTTAATTTGAAGGCTTTTCCGAAACAAATGCACCAACATTCTCTAACGGCGAAACTACAAGTATTTCATCTGATAACATCAGGAATGATTTAATAAAATGTGGAGCGGCAACAGGTTTAACTCTCGGTCGACTTCGAAGCATGGAGTCACATGCATTTATCGTTAACGAAGATGTCAAGTTCTCGAACAATATATGTAAATTTTATCATCAAATGGAGGTAATTCCGCTTGCGTTCCAAGAAAATTTTGCCGTGAAATCCCTACCACCCTTCATTAGCCATGGTGATTCTGGTTCGTTTGTTTTCATGATAGTTAACAACAGTCCTTTGGTTTTGAAATGTGTGGGCCTAGCTATCGCCGTGACGTCATACGGGTCCTGTTTGATGACGCCAATAGATAAAGTCTTATCCGCTTTAGGATTACCAAGTGACTGTCTTATGAAATTAAATCCTTCAGAAACATTAGACAGTACTTCAAACGGACAGAGTGGAGTAAGTGAAGAAACATTGACGCGGTTACTTGAGAGAATGCAATTAAATATCAGTGAGGAGCTGGCATCCTTAGAACAAAACATAAATTCAAGGACAGCCGAACTGGCCGGGAGAGTATCAATGATTGAACAAGAAATGGAGGAACAGAGAAAAGAGCATAGAATATTACCTTGGTTCAACTCGTTGTGTTCAATTATGTAAAACTCTTAAAGTTGTGTAACCATGTTCAACCTTTACAAATATTTACTACAGAAGTTTTTGTTGATATGTTTCTTTTTAACATGTGATTGAATAAAAATAAAATAATTGCCCTCTTTCTGTTCTGCTCAGGTTGCATAAAAAATTTTAATTGGTGTTAGATGAGTGCGTAAATACAGATATTGGGCAATGTAAGAGAGTATCAATTTTATTCGCGTGCGAGAAATTTGTGAGTTTCGCGACATACTTTAAGTCGCGAATATTAGGCCTAATCGCCGCGAACCATTTATTTTGCTTTGTTTTTGTTTCCTTCTTCGTGAAAATTAATCGCTGCGGATTGATTTTAAACTGACGAATCGCGAATTAAAAAAAAAATGATGCGAATAATATAGTTGGTTTATAGTATTAAACCCAAATATATCGAAACATTTTTTAAAAAGCAAAGAAAATGAAATGCACTAAAGTGAAAAAGAATATCCTCTCTCAAGATATCAAAGTAGTTTTTTTTCAGGGACCAGATTTAAGACTGAATATTTACATTTGTTGTGTTTTTTTCACTAAGCCAACTGTGAAGTTGATTTTAATACCATTTTCCTGCATACTCACGCGTAGAAATATGGAGGGAGAATTTCGTGCGAACGTTACGTCACGGTGAGTCTACAGCGACGAAAGTAAAACTGCAATAATATAGGGCAGGAAGAAATTCAAATGAGAATATTTTTTGGTGCTTTAAAACATGTAATATAATAGAACTGTCAAAACGGGACAAAATACCCCCCGCTGGGTTTTTCAGAAGTAAGTTTTTCCATAATAAAGATATGTTTCAAACAGGAATTGTGAAATTTTTCTTCCAGTTATCTTGAACTTCCCAAAATGACCTTGGGTCAAGGTCATGACACACCCTTGGGTCATGGGCAATCTTTGTGTGAAATGAGAACATACCAAGTTTATCCATAAGAAAGATATGGACCGGACACAAATTATGAAATTTTTCTTCCAGTGACCTTGAAGTTGCCCAAATGACCTTGGGTCAAGGTCATGACACACCCTTAGGTCATGGGCAATCTTTGTGTGAAATGAAAACCTACCAAGTTTATCCATAAGAAAGATATGGACCGGACACAAATTATGAAATTTTTCTTCCAGTGACCTTGAAGTTGCCCAAATGACCTTGGGTCAAGGTCATAACACACCCTTAGGTCATGGGCAATCTTTGTATGGAGCAGTATATCCTAAAGTCCCTCTGTAAGAAAGATATGGACCAGACATGATTGCACAGACAGACAGACAGATGGACAGCTAGACAGACAGACAGACAGGGTGATTCCTATATACCCCCCAAACTTCGTTTGTGAGGGGTATAATAAATAAAGGATCTCCCATTGTTTGTAGTTGGATATGACTTTTATCCAACAAGTTGTGTGATTTTTATCTCAAGCCTTGGCGAAGCGATAAACATAGGTAATCCAAGGTTACGAAGCCCAACTCAACAAATGTTATCAATTTAAGTAATGCAAATCTCACATCATATTTTCTAAACAGTTAGTATTTATTCTGACAACAATATTCAAGCTTCCAAAAACTTTAACCTGGTTCTTCGTTTGGAATATGTTAATCAGATCCAGCATCCGAATCAAGTTTCAATTGTTCATCCTTAGATGCATTACCCATGCAAGTTTGATCCTGGTAGGGCTTATAGCTACTTGGGAATAACCTTGTCACTCATCTGGAAAATGTAGGTCAGATCTAGCATCCGATGCAATTCTGGTAGAGTCCATCCCTAGATGCATCATCCATGCAAGTTTGGTCCAGATAGGGCTTATAGTTACTTGGGAATGGACCTGCTCCAAAAACTTTAACCTGGTCAGTCATCTGGAAAATGTTGGTCACATCCAGCATCCGAAGAAAGCCTGGTAGTGCCCATCCCTAGATGCATCATCTATGCAAGTTTGGTCCAGGTAGGGCTTATAGTTACATGTACATGTACTTTGGAATGGACCTGCCCCTAAAACTTTAACCGGGACGTCGACACCAATGCCGGGGGTATAGCATAAGCTCATCTTGACTTCGTCGAAGTGAGCTAAAAATGCATGAGTTGGATAAAAATCATATCCAACTATAAATCATAGAAGATTCTTTTTATCCCATTTTTAATACGAAAACAAAATCATATGAGCTATATTCATGAAATAAAGGGGTAACCATGGGATAAATATAAGGAATGTTTTTAAGTTTAGTGTAAATTATTGGTGTGTAAATCACACAGACTTGCACATCAGCGTTAGATCCCTAGAAATTCTAGTCAGGACTTTTAAAGAAGTTGTAATGAAATCTGTCATTCTGTGTTATCTTGTAACATCAACTTATCTGTCAGTCTACAGTGTTCCAAATATTCATAGAGTCATGGAGATTATAACAAAAACATATCCAATTACACGTAAGTCTTATGATAAGTAGTATGGAATATTTTATTCAATGAGAAATATGACACTTTTTTTTTAAATTATCTTAAAAAAAAATGTGACAGTTTTTGCTTATTTTGTTTTGAACATTTGTGTTAAATCTGTTTTAGTTCCTCTTCTTTACACATTTTTATACACATATTCACTATTTTAATTGTTCTGTCTCTTTATCATTCATAGCCCCTGCAAAACAAAGAAAACAATTCAAATAACACTTTATATTAGCAATAAACAGCTACAGATCCAATGGCTTTTTTAATACTATTGTTTGCAGCTGACTGTAAATTTTCACGTTTCGTCACGATCTTTTTCGTCAGATGCATCCAGCGTAAACAATTCATGTGATTGGTCAACTCAAATTATCAGCATTGATACGGAAATAGTCTATTGCACAAGCAACCAATCAGGGACAAGAAGAAAGTTCCAGTCGTAAAGCTTGCGGTTAGGAGGCGTGTATAATTTACCTTGAGTGCAGCTGTCAACTAGATCGTGACGTAACGTGAAACTTTACAGTCAGCTGCAAACAATAGTAGAAAAAAGTGCCGCGCCACAGCATGATACGCCCGTCAAAAAATTTCAATTTTCTTGAACAGTTTAGGTGCAAGAAAATCACGTCAACCTTAATGATTCTAAGATTTCAATGATTTGTCATTTATCCATCCCCTGTGATGTAGGCATCAATTATAATAAATATTACATCACTGATAGATTTCTGTGCTGGTTGTGTTAGACCTTGTCAAATGCCCATCATCAAATTAGTCTTAACAACTTAATCTATACCAAATTAATTTTGAAAAAAAAGGCTGGCCATCAAATGACATATGCTATAACTGACCAGCAGTTCTGTCTAATCCCCAAAGGGCTGCTTAATCAGAGCGACTGAGACAGCTAGCCTTCCTACATTGAATTCATTAATTAATCTTTAACTGGATGCTTGTCTACTCATTACTACCAAGAGATGAATGGGTCTGCACTATAATTTTTTTTAAAAACATATAAAATACTCTCAGATTTTTTTTTTTTTTTTTGGTTGAGATTTAATGTCCGACAGGTTTTAGTATGTAATTCATATGGACATGCTGATTCAACCCCACCCATAAAATTAGTTTTTTATTAATAATATTACATAATATCAGATTAGTCTATTATGCAATATCAATTACTTTTCATCAAATTCATTTCAAAACTTAAGCTAGTCAACAAGAGCTATTTTTAATCAAACAGGCTTACCCATTTGCCCAATTCTCAAGGGATATAGATAATGCCAATGCTCTGTCAATAGCTCCTGCACTCAAAACCCATTAATTTCTCTCTAATTTGACATGCAATTTTCTGTTATCAAAATTCTTCTTGACCAGTGCTTGATAATTACACTCATGGGAGACATGGGATTTCTCTAACATACATTATATTTGTTTTAGATTGCTGTCAAGTATATGCTTAAAAAAAATAACTGATTTAACACTTTTTTAATAAGAACAGTGCAATACTCTTACATTATTTGGGATGTGTAAATGAATAGTAAAAAGATACAGATTTTTTTTTAAAAAATTCACTTAAATTAAAGGTCACAGTGACCTTGAAATAGGTCGCGACACACCTTCTACCTAAGATGCATAAACTGGCCAAGTTTGATGATTGTAGGTCTTATGGTTTTCTAGTTATGGGCCGGAAAGGATTTTTCCATATTTGGCTATAACTTCTTAATTAAAGGTCAGAGCGACCTACTTTTTGTGGGACACACCTTCTACCCAAGATGCATCAGATGACAAAGTTTGGTAATCCTAGGCCTAGTAGTATTAAAGTTATGAGCCGGAAACGAAAAAGCTAACAGACAGACGGACAGACGGACGGACACGAAGCCTATAACATAATACGTCCCGTCTTAAGACGGGCGTATAAAAATCCCACCAAACTTTTTCAAATGCATATACCTTATTACACTTATACTGTGGTAAATACAGATACATTTTGCCATCAAATACTATAATCCAGTAAACTATTGAGTGGGTATAGTTAATTACTCAAACAAGAGAATAATAGGGCTGTTTTAACAAAATTCATGGAGGGCATCAAAAGTGTGAAATGGTAAAGGGTAAATATAGTAATCTGAATTGCGTAGATGCAAGATGTGTTCATTACTGAATACTGTAAATGTATTACACTTGGCTGTGTATTCTTTTTGGCAGTTTTGGCAAATAGAAACATATGCTTACTTTTAAGTACAATGCGATATGTCTTACACACACATGTATTCATGTGTAGAAACATTTAGAAATTCTCTCAATCAAATCTATGCTAACTTGTTCAAAAATCAATTTCCGCCAAATATCGAGTACACTTAATATAATACATTTACAAAAAATGATTTCAAAAGTGGACCCTTACTTGATCATGTGAGCTACTTCCCAGTTTGTTTCTGATACAATGGGAGATTTCACCATGGTGCCATCCTTTGTAATGATGACAACTTCATACTGAAAAACAAAACAGAGATCTTAGTCAAGGAGATGAGAGGAAAAATAAAGAGGGACAGAAAAATATTGAAAAGAATTAACTTTCAGCAGGAAATGACACTCAAGCATGCATTGTATGATTAATGAAAAATGTCATATGATGAAGAAAATTCATTCAAATAATTTTATATGGTTTTTGCATACATATATGTCAGTTTTTATATCAAATTTTATGAGTGAATTCATGTACTTATAAGTATTTACTCAAGAGTATATAATTATATAATGAATAGGATTTAATTGATCAAATCTTTATTGATATTTCTGTTAACAATTCAAAATCAATCAATATTAAGATCCATATCACCATGCTATCTTTGTGCATACCTTGTTAAGAGATCGGGCGTCCCTATAGTACAAAACTTTCATACACTCGTCTATTTTCTTCTCGGCCTCTGCTAGGGACATCTTAGGATTGGCTTCGTAAGCATCACGCAGTAGGGGCTACAACAGAGAGCAAGGTGTTGCTTTAAAAGAGAGTTAACAATTATCAATGTGTTTTATATATATATATAGAAAATCAGAAACTACTTTTGATGACAAATCAACAAAATTTTATCCCCGCAAAAATTTGTGCTACAGTATATATATAGTAAATCAGTTGTTCACAAAATTTCATTGGTTCAAAATCGAATGTTTTCAACTGTCTGTGGATTTCAGAAAAGAAATAAATGTATACTTATGGTAAAGATATACTGAAGAAGCACAATTTTTAGTGGGAGTAAAATTTTGTTGTTTTGTCATCTAAGAAGGTTTCATGGGCATTAAATTTTTGTTGTTTGGAAAGTAACCCTATTCTTTTTACAGTCACATGAAATACTTCTGGTTTTACAGTACATCTTTCAGAACATAAAACTGCTTCCAACCAAAAAATAGGCTTAAATGTAAATTAAATACTGAAAATATTTGACTATCATACCTTAAAAAAAATCTTGGTGTATAGAATACAAGAGGGTTTAGTTGTTTGTTTTTTTTTTATTTCAATGCTACATTAAGTCAAATTTTATCAAGACCAGAGATGCCAGATTTAACAGTCATTTTTGTTGTTAATATTCTTAACTCAACAGTACTGACATGAAAGAAGAAATCTTGAAAGATATCTGAAGGTTTTCAAGTATCTTAACCAAATTTTTAATAAGACTTCAACTTCATAAGAAAATCTGGATCAAAAAACAGTTTATTATCCATGGTATGGAACATCTGAAAAATTTTTTACATTGACAATATAGGTTTAAATATCTGAAAGTTTCAATATCAAAATATAATTTTTTTTCTCTTGCAAGAAACAAGCCTTAAAATTCTCTAAAAGCTGATGTTTTTATTTAAATCACAATAATATGATGTTTTTTTTTAATATAAGAGAAAAGATAATTTTAGGGTGAAAAGTATATACGGGTTATAACTATGTACAAAAAAGGTTAGGACATCTTTTACTTTGCCAAATCAATTATTTAACGGTTATGAATTTCTTTCCTCGGAATGCTTTTTAGCCCTCTTAACAGAAATCAAATTTTTGCATTTTTAATAAAATTTTAAACAATTGTTTGGGTTTTCAAGGTTTTGAAACTGTTAAGTATTGTACTAAAAGGCCGGGAAAAAATTCTTCTTTCTTTACCGGATGTGATGCCTATATTTCCTCAAAATGACTGATTTTCATTGCTAATGTTGGAAATTCTCAAAATAAAGAAAAAAAGAGCTGCAGATGCAAATGTACACTATATCACAACTCATCAGGCTCATGTGTTTCAATAGCATAAATAATAGGACCGGAAGTCCAAGAGTTTACACTACGCCAAGTTAGGAACATCTGAACAACAGGCAATTAAAAATGAAGAATATTTATTTCGCAGATAAAGACATTGATAAACCTAATGGGTGGTAAAGGACTGCGATGTAATTTACATAGCTGACTAGCATGTTTAGATTAAATGGTCGGAAGGGGGGTGTTTTATTTAAATGTTTCTGTTAAGAGGGCTAAACAATCAACTTTCGGTAATAAAATGAAAACCATTCAACCATTAAATAACTGATTTGGCAAAGTAAAAGTTTTAAACTTGTTTGGTATATAGTTATTTAATACTTTTCACCTAAAATAATTATGATGTTTATCTTTTACATCTTTGAGGGTGAAATAAGAGTTATTCCCCTTTAAAGAGAAGATTTACTAGAATAGTAAGAATACCATGTAAGATCTGTTTAATCAAGAGCTGTCATTGTTCTAAACTTATTTTGATGCTATGATAAAAATTTCAAGCCAACCTTTAATAAATATGCTCAAATCATGTCTATTGTTTAAATGCATATTTTGTGCAGAAAAGTTTTTCAAAAGAATAACTTAAACTTCAATACTCAAGAATATTTCTCTGTTAAATCTTTGTTCAAACAGACTTACTTGCCAAAATCTCTCAACCTCAAAAGATTTGAAAGTGTGTGATTTGTTTCCAGTAAAAAATGACCTTGAATCATTAATGTACTTTAAAAAAGGAAATATAAAATACATCTATATCTTTTTGCAAAGTGATAACACATGTACAACAGTGACATAGGCTAAGCATCTTTTTTAAGAGTGGGGCGCCAACCATAGGAAAAAATGTTCAACTCACCTGAAAAGAAACTTGAAAAGTAAAAAAAAAAGGGGGGGGAATGTCCATCCCACCCTCTCCCCACCCCCGATTCAAAGTCCCTGCACAATAACTATGAAAAATTTAGGTTATTTTTAGGAGTGACATCTTACCACTGCAAGATATGCCCCAAATCCACAGGCAATCGTTGGATCATTGAAAGCTATTCCAATCTTGTCTATATAACCTAGAAACCTGAAAAAGAAATAAGAAAACAAACAAATGCAAAATTTGACTGTAGTTACATTGACAGTTGTACATGATTTTTAATTTTACAGGAATACAAAAAGAAAGTACACTGTATTGAAAATTAAAACTGTGAATTTTAGCTACCACACAGTTGTCATATTTACTTATAAATAACTAATAATAAAATGCAACTTAACCATGCATAACAATTAGTGCTATAGAATATTTTTATTTGAAAGTGTTCCATAGAAAGTTAAACAATTCTGAATGCATATATATAATCCATATCCCCTCCCCCTTCCTTTCCATGCATTCTTAAAGTTCTCCATCTTGTACCCTCCTCCTGCCTAACCATTTCTTCCCTTCTCATCCTTTCCACCCAAACTTACAGTCCTATGTTTCATTCACCATCCCTTCCCATCTCTTCCCCCTCCAAAACTTACAGTGCACACTCTTGTGATCCTCTTGTGATCTACATCCCTTTCATTGATTCCCCTCCCCCCCCCAAAAAAAAAAAACTTACGGTTCTCCATCTTGTAATCCACCCACAACAAATGTGTTCCACAGTGGGTTAAAGTTAGACCTCCTGTTGTACAGGACTCGGGTCATCCAGGAGAAGAGACTTTTAGGTGTGTACTGGAATCCGTCATTTAAACACTCCTCGTCTATACTGTAAAACAGAAATTGTCAAGTACTAATCTCACTGTACTCTCAAAATATTGGTTTTATACCATAAAACAAGGTTTTCTTATGCTGATAATTTACAGCATTTCTCTTACATGTATTTTCAATTAAACTCTTCATTTTTTTAACACTTATTATAGTATTCAATCCAGACCAGGGAAAACAGAATTACTGGCTAATAACATTACTCTTAACCAACTTTTATTCCCGATGACTTTAATTCACAATTAACCAGGAATAAACTAGTGTGCGATGATTAATTTTCACAATCTAGCCTTTTAGGATCTGTTGTTAATAGACACAAACACTTTAAGGACCTGTTCGCGGCAAGAAATATTCGCAATGAAGAGGATCTCGCCAACTTCACAAATGTTTCTCACTCTGGAATAAAAGTTGGTTTTCAGTAATTTATTCTAAACATATTCAACGTGACTCTTGCAACTTTTTTAAAGAGAAATAAATTCATGCATGTGCATTCATCTTGTTACTTCATCAAACAAAAACTGCCAAGACACTGGTTAAATGTGTATGTAAATTTCATTTTCAATATGTTGAAACCTTTCATTTTTTTCCCTCTCAGATCTAAAGTGTACATTGTATCTACAAGGAATAATATCTTTTGGAAAAATTAAAACAATTATTTTTTTTCATTTATAAATTTTATTATCAATATGGTGAAAACTCTAATTTTTTCCCTCTCAGATCGTAAGTGTACATTGTACATGTAATTATTATTTTTTTTACTGATTTCATAACTTTCGTACTTACACTCTTTGTTCAATAATGGATTTCATGAACTGAAAATCAGCATAATCCCCACTTATACCCAGGGCTGTGGTATCATTAACTTTCAATACACGAGAGAGATTCCTGTAGCGAGCCATGGAACCATACGATCCCAACATATCAGCTGCGATTATAACACCCCCATCAAAACACAGTCCAAGGACGGAGGTACCAGTTACTGTAGGAGCTCTGAAATAAATAATATTTGAAAAATTACCATTTATATGATGGCTGGAAAATCTTAATGGTTATTGTTTTGCCCCAAAAGGCTTTAAAAGCATCAGTAAGAAAGTACAGTTGAACTTTGGTATCAATGGGACCGAGAAAAAACTTCGAGATATCCAAGGATTCAAGATATCCAGGGTAAAATACTTCAAGAATATGTGATTGAGACAACAAGATCACTTCGATATATCCATGCTATTTTAAACATCTGTGTTTGAAATACCCCCAAGTTCAATTGTACTGCTAAGTAAAACTGGCATATGATGATATGTTGTTTTATTGTTAACTACATGTGTACATGTATAATGCTCTGCCTTTGATCTTCAAATTGTTTGGTGTAAAACTAAAATATTCCTCTCACAAATATTTCACTGATACACATGTATGGAGATGCCACCAATTGTCAGAACAGGGTTTGACACTTACATTTTTAGGCTTTGGTCTAAAAATTTAGGCTTTAGGCTTTGGCCAGACTAGTGCTTCTTTAGGTTTACTAGTCCGCGGGCCATTTTATGACTCCGTCGCAAAATATCAGTAAATAAATAGAAAAATTTTCAATATACTTTTTATACCTATTTTGAAATAATCAAAGCATTTGCGTGAAATGTTTTATACCAAGATTCGTTGAAATCATGTAATCAGGAACTACGATCGTATTCCCGATCTCTTTTGTTTTTCTCATCCAAACGTCCGACATCTTTCTTTATGTGTCATACTAAATCATGATTGCTAAAATGTTTTATTTCAAACCAATAAGTCCTAAAATTAAGCAATGAATTGACTCAGAAATACCTAACTTCCCGCCAAGAAGCTAGAAAGCTAAAAATACATATGGGGTTTTCCAGTGAAAAGTTGTCGATAATTGAACATCGGTAGATTCTTTATTTTTTTTCCAGAAAACTTTATCAGTCCATTCGGACTTATTAGCCACAAATTTTATTAGTCAGAATGAAAATGTATTAGTCTGAGACTAACAGACTAACGTTGATGACGAACCCTGTCAGAAGAGGGTGTTTAACTTATCAATTCAGGAATTTTTTTTTTAAACATGTTAAATGAAGAAAAATAACATCCTTTAAATTAATACATCATAGGTTTGCATCAATTACCAAAAGATAATTCATAAACTAAAACAAAACATAGAGGAGTCATACTGTATCAATTTGATGATAAAACACAGGGGTTAAACTTAACGCTCACCCACTCGCAAATTGCGAGTAAAAATTGATGTGGGCTCATAAAATTTATAAGTTACTCGCCCACGTGGCGAATAAAAATTCTGCAGGGGCCGAATTCATTCCCAGTCCCCTTACTGAAAAACAGACATTTTATGCAGGTTTTTGATTTAAAACTACAGAAAAATGAAATAAATCACAGCAGCATGGTCCTATTGTTCGTAAATATCCTTCATCTTTTCCATTTAAAGTACTACATGATTTGTGAAATTCCCTAAAATGATAGTCTTTTTTTTTATAATCTGAATTTCCTCCAACCTCCGTAAATGGTTGATACGTGAGAGATATACAATTTTAATAACTCCCAACTACTCAGTCATATGAATAGTAACCCTTACCAAAATGAAATGTTTGCTGCAAGTTTGCGGCAAGCTTGCAGCAAGTTTGCGGCAAACAAATCTATGTACCAGAACAGTATGCCAGAAGTGTGCAGTAAATGCAGCTAGCAGCACACAGTATGCCACTTGCGGTTCATTGTGTGCTGCTAGTGGCACATATGTACTTCTAGCGGCACATTAAATGATCTAATGCACATATGTGCCAGAAGTATGCCACAATTTTCCCTTAGATGCCTTTTATATAAATAGTGTGCCAGAAGTGTACCAGAAATGTTTCTTTTAACCAACAAAATCACTGTGTGCCAAAAGTGTGCCATAAAGACCTTTAGGAACGACTTGTCTGTTGTGTTACAGACCTATCTAAGAACGGCTTATCAGTTCACATCCGGTTTGGAAGTTTGCGCCAATTTTTAAACCACCTGGGTCATGACTCATGACAAGAACAAAGAGAAAGGAGAAAACAGCAACATAGACCTTGGATAAAGAGAGAATGTGAGTATTTTAAAAAAAATTGTATAACACTGATGTCTTTTTAACATAGAAATAAGACTTGACTGTATTTGCTGAGCCAGTTAGAATTTTTACAGTACTTGTTCATAACAAATTGGGTCGATATATTACATGTATATGTTTTTATTTTTTGTTCTATATATCCAGATGGACTGATGATGAATCAGTAAATCCTCAACAAAGAATAGATCAAAAGGGCATTTATCTGCAGGAAAGGATTCTGCTAACTAAAATATGGACTAAAAGTAAGTAAGCACAATTAAGAATTAGGTCCATATTCAAATGTTTATATGTCATATAAACAAATGATTAAATACACTTTACATTCTATAATTTGTCAGAGAAGCATGTAGTTTTATTTAACAAAGTGTTGTTTTTGAATTGTTTGTCAATCTATCCTGAATTGCCATTTAATATGATTTTAATGCATACAAAACAAGATACAAATGTGGTATCTCTAGGTCAAAATTAGGTTTAATTCATTGCTTAAATAAATATTGGTTTCAATGACTGCAATGTGAGTAATTTCTCTCTATCTTTTTAACAGGTACTTGCATAATGTTGGAAAGGAAGCCCCCCCCCACCCCCCCCACCCCCAATCATGAAAAGTTAGTTGAAATGTCAGAGTGAATTTGAAGTACATGTACCAAGAATATTCCTATCAAATGTATCGCCCACATGGTTAGAGCGTCTGCCCTTGAGTCACGAAGTAAGGAGTTGAATTCCACTGTGGATCCTTCGGATAAGACTGTATAAACTGAGGTCCCATGTTGCAGTAGGTGATGATAAAAAAAGATCCTCCCTGTTCAATGGCTCTGAGTGCCAATTAATGTAGTGTAGGACAAAATTTGCAGCTCTCCCACGGCAGATGTTGGCATCTCCATATAAGTGAAAAATTCTCATGAGGGACTTTAAACAATATACAATCAATCAATTAATGGGAAATGCAACGGATAAGGACACTCTTTCAACATGACATGGATTCTTCAAGGGGATTATGTTGTTGTTTTTTTTAAAAGTGATAGAATCAAGACACTGAACAAATTGTCGCCTTTACTGTGTAAATAATATTGTGAGATTTAATTTGTCAAAATACCTTATATGTTTTTATTCATATTGTGCAGCACTATTACTTTGATACGTGCAGTTGAAATTCATTGTAAGAGGTGAATCTTTTCTTTGATGTAAAATGTTTTGTGATTGTTGTTAACTACAAATCCTCTATTTATTTTGCATAATGACCAATGTAAATTTGTGCCATTATATTACTCAAAGGTTGCTAATTTATTTTTTTTAAATCTGTTTCTTTCTCTATCTGATGTATACAGTGTAACTGTTCAATCAACAGATTTTGTTCTTGTACTGTGCAAGTTTTTTTTAAACATTAATATTATAGTTAGTGTTATATATACATGTACTTGGTACCTTTTTATCTTGAAATTTTCATAAATAATTTTTAAAATGGCTTGAATGTTCTTTTTTTTATAGTACATGTATTACATGTTGCTGTCATGTTTAATCACTTTCTTTTAAAATTAATTTGTTAAGGTTAGGTATATTAACTTATGGAATTGTATATGCCAGAAATGTGCCACAAGTGTGTGCCACAAATTTGCAGTTAACTATATGCCAGAAATGTGCCGCAAGTGTGTGCCACAAACTTGCAGTAAACTATATGCCAGAAATATGCCACAAGTGTGTGCCACAAATGTGCCAGAACTTTGCCGCAAATATGCCGCAAACTGTGTGCCAGAAAAAAATTTGCATACGAAAAATCTATTTGTGGCAAGTTTGCCGCAAATATTTGCCGCAAAGTTGCGGCAACTTTGCAGTAAACTTGCTGCAACTATGTGCCAGAAGGCTTTTATTTTGGTAAGGGAAGTGTTTTAACTTATTTCAGATATGCTGTTATTAAAATATTAACATAGAAAATCTTATTGTGTCATTGTCAATTTATCGCTTGAAGAAGCAAATTCATGTACCAGGGCTACGTATTTACTATAATACATGTATTACCATGTAAAAAAAAAATGATAGTAAAAGTGTTGACTGAAAACAATTTTATTTCCTTTGATTAAATATTTATATGACATCCTGATTTTTATAAAGTATAAAGAACTCCAATTTTAAACAGATGAATTTATATATGTATTTCATTTGTATCTACTTTTTGTCCCAGTATCTATAAAAGGCATTTTAAAAAAATCAGAGAGACTGTGGGCTAACAAATTAAGCAGTGGGCTCCTAAATTTTAAAATGTCAGGAGCCCACATGGCTCTTGGAAATTTCAGTTAAGTTTAAACCATGAAACATACTATTTGCAGAAGACTTTATCTCCTACATTCCACTGCCTTTTGGACATATAAATTTATAAAACTGAGAGTTGTGCAAATTCAACATAAGTCCATATAACACAGAGCGGCCTGCCTAATTGAAGACCTACAGGTAATTGAAGACCTACAGAAGACCTACGGAAGACCTACAAAAATGGGGGATATATTCAGCAAAACTGATATGATATTCTAATTTAGCATGGCCTAAATATGTAAACTACACAAAAAAAAATTATAAAAAGAAGTTTTAAAGTGTATTTTTTAAGCTCGGTAAGGGGAACTATTTCTTCTCTTAGACGACCTACGGCAAGAACGATAACTCTGGATGACTTGTCTTGTAAACAACAACACGCTCATTTATATTGTGAAGTTTATAGGAAGAATCAGTATAAGACAAAATAAAAAAAAAAATGCAAATGATTTTGTTGAGTTTTTTTAATTATGAATTATGATAAAGAAATCAGCTGGATGATGAATTTTGATGAAGTTAAAAATATAAATAATTATCATGATTATTTCATTTATCAAATTAATATTCTACTTGAAATCTATAGTTAATATTTAATAAATAGTGTAATTTTTTTAAATATGTTTTATGGGATAATTATTGAATATTCAAGTTCAAATTATTGATATGTGTGCTGTGGATTTGTCTCAATTAACCAATATTACTCTGTACTAAGGGCTTCGATCTTCACTAATTTGTTGTATACACACTCCGGCAGTCACCCTGAGGATTTATCCATGTTTTGATTGCAATTATCAACACACCCCACTTGCTCTGATGAATGTTAATTTGCAGTCAACAGAGCAAAGATATAAAAAAAATATTTATTTTATATCTTAAAAATGCTAGCAAGAATAAACAAATAAAATTAATGTGCATTTATTCAGAATATAACTTAATAAAATGAATTACGTTTTGAATTTTTTTTTAATATTCAAAATGGTCATCTTTTTTCAATATAACACATTTATATAACATTCACGAGGAATATTTAATAACTTAATTAAATGTATATTTCCAGATAACATGCTGTAAGCCAAGAAATAGGCACTATAATATAAAACATAAGGTTTTATTTCTTTTACATTTTGAGCTAAAATATATATGTACATTATATCAATCTTGAAGATACCAGGCCCTGGGATCATGAAACAGACTTAGACTTCATTCAAAATTTTAATTATCTATAAAATCTTTAAAACTTGTTAAAAGAAACTCATAATTTGCAAACAACAGCAGACTGATGATTCAAAATCGGAAGGCATTTTCATTTTGGACTGTTTGACCTCTTAAAAAATTCAGCATCTAAGTCATTTTTGACTTAAGCTTAAGATGCTTCATGATCCTGGGGCCTGGTATATCATTCAATAATTAAATTAAAAGAAAATACACACTTTTTAAAATTGAATAAAATAATCAACATGCATGTTATCATAAAAATGCATGCATATTTTAAAAAAAAATTATGATGATGCTTTGACTCGGGGGAAATAAGATTTTGAAAGTGATTATGTCTGTATTCTTTTTGAAAATTTACTTCAAATTCTTTTAACTGCAATTTTGAAATTTTCATTCTCTACATAAATGCAAATCTTATAAAAATTTCCAGATGTTATAAATGACATTACTAGGTATTTTTAATAACAAGAACACAAATCATTCTATCACAATGAATTTTTATTATTTATCAAACCTGAACTAAATATTATACTGATTTATTTATAAACACATATAAAATACTAAATATAACGTATATACAAGTGTATGTATTTATAATGATTTTATGATTGACATATGATGGTATTATAAATTATATACAGTGTTTACAATTTTAATGATTTTAATAACTATTTTAACAAAATAGAATTGTATCTGACTGAATATTGCATTTTATTTTTTTTTTATCTTTGATTTATGTATATAAAGTATCTCCAATAATTTTTTTTCGTCCTTTAATATTATTTTTTAATTACATTTTTATGATAATTACATTTTCTTGATATGTTTTGGTGAACAGCTGATTTGTTATTTACGCGAGTTATCGTTCTTGCTGTAGGTCTTCTGAGAGAAGAAATAGTTCCCATTACCGAGCTTAAAAAATACACTTTAAAACTTCTTTTTATAAAACTTTTTTGTGTATTTTATATATTTAGGATATGCTTAATCAGAATATCATATCAGTTTTGCTGTATATATCCCCCATTTTTGTAGGTCTTCCGTAGGTCTTCTGTAGGTCTTCAATTACCCGTAGGTCTTCAATTAGGCATATAAAAGCATTCCGAAATTCCTCTGTCGAGCATGTTTTTGAACTGCTAAAATTTACTTGTTCAAAAAATATTTCAGAAAAACAATAATCATAAAGAATATCAAGTGAAATGAATAAAAAGCATATTGAATTGTTTTATATAAATCTAATATACCAAAAAAACGATTTAGCAAATTGGCTCAAATGAATCAGCAAATTATGGATATTACATTAAAATAAAACTGTAGGACTACAGAATGACAGAATACATACAATGTTCTTTTAGATGCTCCAACCTGTGCGGCTGGTTTTGTATCCAAACGACCAGGGAAATTGTAGTATGAACCTGGTTGTGGACCATTTCTCCAAAGCTCTGTTGAAATAAGCGAGGTCTCCATTTTTTCTTTCTTTTTTTCACCGAACCTCGAACCCGATTTTTTCTAATCGGGCTCGAGAGTCTTGATAATTTAGTCGGTTATCCTCTAAATTATTCTCCATTTAAAAGACGAGTCTAGAGGTGTTCCTCATAAGGGGTGTATACAGAAAATGTTATGGTTTGTATGAAATATTTTTTTCAATATCTTAACTTTTAGTAAATGTCATAAAACTGTAGAAAAGGATAATAAACACAGACATAAACTCAATCAGTGTATTGATGTTTTAGGCCCCTACGCCTCATACTTTTTAGGTGAATGACATTTTGAGATAGCAAACACAGATGATCACAAAAGTGAAAAACAAGAATTTTTATTTGTCACAGAATTTTGCAGAATAGATAAGTGACCAGTGACTTCGTTCAAAGAAGGCAAAGATGTCAGAGGCATCAGATAGAGAAAAGAATGATTCTACAGAGACAAGTGAAACTGGTAACAATTCTAATCAGATAAGACAAGTAGACAGTTAAATAGGCCTAGTGATATATATTTTGCTTATCACTTAGAGCTATCCCCCCCCCACCCCAGTGATTAGAGCATCTGCTTTAGTTTTTCAGAGTCAGTGAAGAGTTGATCCTTACTTCGCGGGTTCGAATCCCTTTGTGGGACGTAGAGTGTGGTCCTTTGATGAGACTGTATAAATTACCGAAGTCCTGTGTCACAGTAGGTGCTGGCACGAAAAAGATCCCTCACTGCTCATTGGCCATAAGTGTTGGGTATAGCACAGAATTCGCAGCTCTTTACTGCCAAGTTATAGCATCTGCATATGAGTGATAGAAATAAGATTCTCGAGAGGGGCATTAAACAACATACAAACAACAAATTGTCAGAGTTCATGATCACTTATATTATGTTAATAATTAAATTTTGTTAGTGAAATATACTGCCCATTGGAGGTAGCAGGTAGGTCCATGGTTCAAAGAATTTCTGTAAAGACCTGATTTACATTAATTTGGAATTCTCAAAGCTCTCTAAACCAAGTTGATTCCCTAAATGTCATTGTCTATGAATTTCAAAGGATATTAAGCTGGATGATGACAACATTGTCAAGAATGCATGACTGTAAACAATTTTTAATAGTGTAAACCATTTTTATAGACTTTTTCTTTAAATCACGAATTTATATCATTATATTTGCTCAAACAATTTGTATCTTCTCTGTTTACAAGAAAATGTTGATCCTATAGAAAGTGAAAATCAGACAACAGATTCCAAAACCTCTGAAAATGTGGAGCAAGAGGTGGATCTGAAAGTAAATGAAAACTCAGAAGTGGATCCAGAGGATGATGGAAATACCAGTGTTGATCCATCAGTGGTGGAGAAGCTGTCATTAGGATTACTGGAGATTTGTCTGCCTCCTTTACAGAAATCCAAAAGCTCACTTGATGACCTTCTGTAAGTTAAATAATTTTAAAAAATGTTTTATATGTTTGACATCTTGGTCCCAGTTTGTAATTTTTTCAGTCTCCTTTAAACTGAAAGAATAATGACACACACCCAGGATCTTCCCTGTATCACTTATAGGACAACAAATACTGTTACAGTATACATTTGAAAGGAAAGGATTCTCAGAAATGCAGTGTTCTATACTGGGAGTTAACCTGGTTCCCTTGAATATCCAGTCAGGTGATATAATACTAGCTGAACTATTTGGCCACTGGCAATCAAAGTCACCTGACTGCCACATTTGTTCCTTCTCAAATGTTATTTTCAAAGACCCAAACTTCAATTTTTCTTTTGCTGGCCTCCAACTTTCGAGATTTTTACCCACGTGTCCCAACTGGAGTTCAACTCCCGGTTCAGTCATACATTTTCACTTTTCCTGTTACATGTACATAGTTTGGTACCATTGATCCACAGACATTTGTCCAAGTGCCTGTGCATTGACAACCCTTTGCCTGAATTTTCAGGCTGAACAGTGCTGCCAGGGGCAAATAAGAACTTTTGTTGTGATTTCAAGGGCAAAGACAATTTAAGGAAGGAGAGATGTAATGATTGGGCTATGGAAATCAGCTGGGTAGCTCATTTGATAGAGCACCTGAGTTAGCGATGCAGGGGCCCTCACTCTCACTCATGGATCATGAATCCAAGTTCAGCCAAACATTTTCTCCATGCCTATAACACAATCAAGCTTTGTTATTATATATATATATATATATATATATATATATATATATATATATATATATATATATATATATATATATATATATATATATATATATATAATACAATATTTATTAAAGTCATAATTATAAAAATACATTATGGTATCAATGTTTTAAATCTTTAATTACTGTGAAATCACTAATTTTCGTGGGGGTTTAATTTTCATGGTTTTCAAGGTATGAAGAAACCGATGAATTTCTATCCCCCACGGAATGCAATTTTCCACATATATTACTTCTAATCAATTCTTCAACCACGAAACCAAATCCCCATGAACCAAACTATTTTCTTCAAACCTCGAAAATTTGACCCCTCGAAAATATGTGATTTTACAGTATTTAATTCAAAGATTCACTCTTCCTGATACATCTGTAAATAATTTGTATACAGGCAAATTTTCACCTCCATTTTATATTTGATCCTTTCACCCTAGACACAAGTGGGCAAATTTAAGATGGGACGAATTCAAAGACCACAGTATAATATATTTAAGGAATCACTGTCTAGTTTTGAGAGTATGCCAGGGCATCAACAATAGTGGGAAACATGGGATAATTTGCATAACGGGCGAAGCCCGTTATGCTAAAATTATCACATGTTTCCCACTATTGCCTATGACTGCATACTCTCAAAAAGACAGTGATTCCTTATATTTCCATTTCATTGTGAAATAAAATTGTAGACTTAGACATTAAAAATGCAGACTAATAGATTTAATTACACGAGGACTTCCATCCCAATTTCAATAGGCCTCGCCGATTGACCTCAAACACAACGGCAGCCGCACGAGATTTACATGCATATTTGGCCTCCTTAGCGTCAGACTCAGAGACAGATGCGCACAAGATTTGCATGCATACTAGGCTTCCTTAGCTCCTGACCTATCGACCTGCCTAATTTACATTCCGGCAGAATTATCAGGAAATCAACTCCGCTTACTTTCAAAGGGTTATCATAGAGAAAAAAATTAGAAATGGAAATACATGTATATATATATATATCTATATCTTATACAGAACTGTGGCTGGGTGAATTTAAAACTGGGCAAACTTGTTTGCAAAAGTGAATGGGCAAAAATAACATTGGGTGAAAATAACCCTTTATACAGTAAGTTAAATGAATGTGGCAAAAGAATAAATAAAAATCACAGTTTCTCTACCAACTGTTTGACATGCTTTAATGTTTTTTGTCCTTTACTCAGACAAAACCAGCAGTTCATGGTAGAGTCGGTACAACAGGAGAATGCTAAGTTTACAGATTGTCAAGACATGGAGGAAATCACTAAAACGGTAAGCTGTTTTTAATTTTTATCATAAAGGAACTTGGAATCTTTGAAATGTTATTCTGCCAAGTACTGTTTGTGAAAACGCAGTGTGACAGTTGTTGAATTCCATGTTATAGACACAGGGTTGTCAAGTGAAACCTCATTGTCTAAAACTTTACTTACTACAACTGATAAAAAAACCAAAAAAAACTGATATGTATTTGAGATTGAGGCTAAATATATGCATAAAGATGTTTTTGAGACTTCAACTTATTTTGCATTATCCAGCTTGATATTTGAGTTGAGATACCCTTGCTCAACTGTGTTATTCCAGACAATTTAAATTTACAAAAATCTATTAATCTTGTCAGCTTTTATAATTTAATAATTGCTCTTTGCACTTTCAAAAAAAAAAAAAAAAGGTAAATTCACAGTACATGTTTATGGCATATGATGTTGGATTTATACTTGTACATAATATACATGCAAATTCCAATTTCATAAAAAAATTACTATTAATAAATTAATTGAATGCAGTTGATTTGTTTTATGTCTTATAAATATTTTTTGTAGATGGCCCAGGCAAAGAAATACCACACAAAGCTGATCAACCTCAAGAAAGAGATGAATGCTTTGTCTGAGAAAGCTGCCAAGCTAAAGGTAAGTAAAAAAAAAAATAAACTAAAAAATATCTAATTAAGATAACTTGATGATCATAGATTTATAGGGTAAGTTGCTTGTTAATGTGTGTTTATTTGTGAATGCTAAATAAAGCAATTTAAAAAACCAAATTAACCATGCACTGCTACATGAAGACATACAAGAAGCATACAATTGGAAAAAAACGAATATCACATGACTGTGTGAAAAGTCTTTGCTATAAATCAGGTTAAATTTTGGCTTAAAGCTTGAACTAGATTCCTTATAATATTTTAGGAGGTTTATTTTGCATCTAGCATGGTATATGTCATTTGTTGAATAAATTTTAATATCTAAAATTCTATCTTACAATGATTTAATTTTTTGAAGATAATTATGTAATTATAATGTTTTCAATCTAAATTTGTTATCAATTATGAAATATGATTTTTATTTTCATATATTAAAATAATAGAGGCGAGCTGTGAAGATTCAGCAGCAAAAACAGAAGGAGGATCTACAAAAAGTTCATCAGAAGGAGCGTGAACAAGAGAGAGAGAAAATGTTAGAGGCCAAAGTCGTTAAAAAGCCCCCATCTACATCATAGCATCATCAAAAAACATCTTTGACATGATAACTACATGACACATGTTAAACAAAATAAGTCTGAGGTGGATCTATACATGTGCCATCAAACACCCCAATGTATTATCTAGTCAATGTCAGATACTTACAGTGTATGCCCCTATTCACACTGAGACTTTACTTTTGAATTAAACTTAAGTTTACTGCAAATTTATGTTTTACTGTGTTCCCATGGAGAACAAAATGCAAAATTTTAATTAGTTTAATTTGAATTTATTTAGTTTGCTGTGAATTATGTTAATTTGAAAAAAAACCTTAATGTGAACGCTGTTAAACATGTTAAAGCGAAGCTTATTCAAATTCAACTATGACGCAATTGCATGCCTAATGGCAGATGCCAACAAATTCATGTCCACCACAAAATGTTAACATACATACACATGTAACTACTCAACAATTCTTCATCCATGAATTCCAATCCCCATGAATCTAGAGGTTTTTCTCAAACCACGAAAATTTGAGCCCACTAAAATATGTGATTTTATTGTATTTTACATATCAGTGCTATGGTATAAGTATCTGCGCTATTAAAAGTATTTTTGAGTTTAAAAAAAACGGGGGAAATAATATGTTGTATGTTAATCCTTTACGTGTGTGGAGTCAATACAATATTACCGTATAATCCCTATTTACCGCCCCTGCCCCTATAAGTGCCCCATTAGGTCTTTTTCAGTTGTCAGGAAATAAGGACGCCCTGTACAGTGATTAAAAGCACCTAGAATCGTATCAAAAGTCAGCCAAAATTTTAAGAAAGTGAAAATGAAACTTGTCTATTATCCAATTTCTCAGCGAAAAATGAATCTATTAGCATAATTTTGGTGGATTATCTTCACTTAAAGTAAAGTAATACATTATTATAATGGTTCTTTGTATTTTTTTTTTTCAAAAGATTTTTTGAAGTTAAAATATGACATTAAATATTATAAAGAGAATCTTCCGCAATTTTAACTTCAAGGTGTTGGTCTCCAGCTTTTCTTTGTTTTGTATTATAAAGAGAATAGCAAAATAAACGCCCCCTTTTCGCAATTTTCTAAGCGCCCGGGTCGGTTTATAGGGATTATACGGTATGTCAAATGGATTTGCTCTGCATTTGTGAGCCTAATCATTGTAGAAATAAAATTTTAATTGGCATTAGTTAACTTCACATATGTACATGTAAGTGCAATTTAATTTGCATTAATTTAATTCACATTATTTTATTTCACATTAATTTAAACTCTCCATGTGAACAATGCATAAGTACTAAAAAAAATTAAAAGGAATATGAGAAAAATATATCTGTAAGTAAATTAAAAATGTTCATATGTGTAATTTTATTATGATATATCTACACAATAGCATTGGGGGCGATAGTTATGTGCTTGTGAGTATGAGAGTGAGTGGGCATGTGCGAAACAAGGGTGATTACATGTACAGTTTATACGGAATGTTAGACCCAACTGTGAAAAGCAGTTGTATTTTAATGGAAGTTGGACATACTAGAAATCATATGATTAATATTTATTTAGCATGAGTTACATGTATATGCACTCTATTACTCAATCATATATCATGTTCATCGTGAAATGAAACAAAAATTGATGAATACCAGTAATGAAAGTGAATGCTTTATACATGTACATGTAACAGCATACTGTATATGTATTTTTCTTGGTTGTTTTTGAATCAATTTATGTGGCAATTTTTAGGGACTTTGAACTTATAGGTTTGTAGGAAATTAATTTCTTGGGTGAAAGTCTCATAAAAGACCATTTAAATCAATATTTTAGAAGGTAGTGAATTTGTGGGTAGAGGGCACTGACACAAGATGACATTCCCCATCGCTTTGAGAAAGTAAAAATATTCTTCAGTTTTGTGAAATGGGACAGTGAATTATGGATTTTATTTGTTTTGTAAATGGTTTGTTTTTGTTGATTAAAATTTGTCTGCATTGTACAAGAGCAGAAACAATGAATGCTAAGATTATTTTTTACACCATTTTTTATTCTGTTCAAAATACATGTAGTCTAAATTTGTATTTTTTTAGTGGGGACATATTGAATTCTTTTATTAGTGTTTTTGTATTGCATTAATTAAATATGGAATATAAATATATATGAAAATAAATGACAGTGACGTAATCATGTTTTGTTTCCTCACTATGAAAGACCATCTAAGTCTTTTTGGTTATGTAATATTTTATGAGGTCATCATTTTCAATTTTGTTGGTTCATTCAAAAGGACAGTCCGTTGAACAGGAATCGAACAATCCCTGCATTGTGTTTCAATGGTACTTGAACCACATAAAGCCACTCAGACCAACACTTCCGGTCCAGTATATCTTCCGATGCCAAATACCTTACTTTATTGTTACAAATACGAACTCTAAATATAATTTGTACATGTTATTACAAATCAAGAGAAGGCACTGATGCGGCCCTTAGAAGCTTATGCACAGTCATGTTTTTAAAATTATGTGTTTTGTAAATGGTTTGTTTTTGTGGACAGATGAAATGTTTTTCAAAGTGGATGGCGAAGGAGAGAATTTGATTTAAAATTCATGACAAAACAGGGGGGTGGTGAATACTAGAATTTTCCTTAATTTTGTTTACGTGTATGCAAAATTTTTTTGATCATTAAAAGTATAAACAGCTTGAAAAATATAAATATATATAAGAAACATTTTCATAAATATTTTTATTTCAGAGATTTTTTTCTTCACATTATAAAATAATTGAACCATATCAAAGGTTGGACAGGATATAGCACTTTGTTCTTGAGCTTGAGATGAAAGATACCACAGAGTCTGACACATCTGTTTCATATTTGAATATTTTACTTGAAAAAGAATAAACATTAATGTTAATCTAACAACCAAGATCTATGATAAACGTGACTACTGTATCTTTTCTATCGTCAACTTCTCTCACTTGTGCAGCAATATACCTTCACTGGCTTCATCACCTACATACGGAGTTAATATATCTAAGTTGATTCGATACTCAAGAGCATGCTGTACGTATGAACGATTTCTAAAACGAGGTAAATTATTGACAAACAAGTTGATGAAACAAGAATTTCAGCAGTCTCGTTTAAAGTCAGCATTTCGTAAGTTCTATGGTCGATACAATGGCCTTGTGAGCAAATACAATTTATCATTGAGTCAAATGCTGCTGACTGACGTTTTTCATACCAATTGTTAGTGCATTGTTTAAACACTGAATTGACGACGGATTTTTCCGTGATTTCCCAATCATGACAAGGAGCACACCGCGGGTGTAACCGATCGGCATGGGATGCTCACTCCTCCATTCCACCTGATCCCACCTCCAATGTTAACGAGGTCTGTGTTTGCTATACTCCTATTTTGAATTGTTTTATGGACTTTGATCTTGAATATAGTTCATTATCTCCCTATGTTTCATCCCAATACATTCCATTATAAATTACTGAAAATAAAAATGATCAGTTTTTGTAATACAAGTTTTTGTGCACGACTAAAGGAAATTCATTTTGAAGCAAACGACCTTTCTCATTTGCAAGCCCATTTAGGACCTATCAAAAATATTTTTGAATTCGATACAATGAATTGTCGAATTTGTTATAATAATGAATTTAATTCGTTATAACAATTTCTTTGAATTTGTTAGAACAAATTTAATCTGATATAACAAATTTGTTGAGTTCGTTATAACGAATTTAATCTGAAATAATAAATTTGTTGAATTCATATATAACGAAATCAAAAATTTGTTATAACGAATTAAATCCGTTTAAACAAATTCAGAAATTTGTTATGAAAAATTTCATTCGTTTAAACAAATTCTGAAGTTTGTAATAACAAATTAAATTTGTTTAAACTTTAAACAAATTCCTTTATTTGTTATAACGAATTAAATTCGTTTAATCAAATTCAACAATCACGGGCTATAGAAAAATACAATTATATGAATTTGGTATAACGATTTGTCGAATTCTTTTTAACAAATTAAAATTGTTATAACAAATAAAAGAATTTGTTTAAACAAATTTAATTTGTTATAACAAGTTTTAGAATTCATTAAAACAAGTTTTATTCTTATTAACAAATTTTTGAATTAGTTATTACGATTTCAACAAACTTGTTTTAACAGGTTAAATTCGTTATAACGAATTCAAAGAAATTGCTACAACGAATTGAATTCGTTATAACAAATTCAGCAAAAGTTATTTGAATTCAAAAATATATTCAAAATTTTAAAAAGGTACTGTTTGTTCAAATTCACAAAAAAGCCTAAACCAAGTTTCACAATTGATTAAAGGTTTATCGACTGTAAACTAAACACCTTAAACATTTGAAATTGGAAAATTATTTTTCTTCCCAAAAGGATTATATAAGGAAAACTGTCTGTAATAAAAACGTTAACAATAGATTTTGTTGATAACTTGCGTGTGAAATGCTATAGTTAAAGGTAAACCATAATTTACAATTGAACTGTTTCTTGAGTAAGCATGTTTATGTAGCAATACTTCAATGACAAACTCTTAGAAAATTTTATGTATGATTAAGGAACGTCTCTTCTGTCCTTAAGGGCCGTTTGATGGGAGGAAGCTTCGCATTACACATCGATTTTGAGAAGTCCAGCTTGCAGTCAGAGTTTGGAAAGGGTAGAGCATTCTGTCCCCAAAACATTCATTTAAAAATTACTAAAAATTAAAATGATCAATAAATGTAAGAAATGTTAATGTGTATGGCCAAAGAGAAATTTGAACCAAATGAACTTTCTTTGAATGTGATGAAGCAAAAGGTGATATATTTTACAAAACAAGACACGTAATAATCACATCTAAAGGACTAAGACTCCGTGATTATTTCAAATGAAAACAAACATAGAGATAAGCATGAACTTTGTAATATACCCCTACTTCCAATATAAATGGCTCTTAGGTCGAAATACCGATATCATGAACTTTTAATCCTGCTATCTTCACGATACAAGCCTGTTGATTCTCACGTTAATACCTTACTTCATTCCATTCCATGCGGGTCACAATGTGGTACCTTAACGTCTGTCTCCTGTTTGTAGGAATTCAATACACAGCGGCTTCAAGTAAGGTTACATGTACATGTATATATAAATAAATAAATTCTGAAATGCACTAAAGAATTTTCTTGCAAAAAGAAACAGTAACTCGGAAATGATAACTATAGTAAGTGATTCTTCGAAACATTGAAAGGAACTAAGAAATCTTTTAAATATTGCAAATTTTAAGCCATTGTTAGTCAAATCTATGTTTCTCTAATTTATCATATGCCATTGGTGCCTAAGAAAAGCTCCCTACATATATATGTAGTCCCTGCATGTTTCAATTTTTTATTTCATAAAATTTATCATCTTTTAAGGCATATTTTCTATCTCATAATTGGTAAGCAACCAACCCGCGAAAAAACACTGAAAAATTCCTATCCCATTTTAAAGTAGTCTTAGTGTTCAACTACATGTACTCAAAGAATCAGCTTATTTTTAAGTAGTCATGAACATTTTTTTCTATATCAGATATTTTCTAAAAAATAAATCTATTGCACTTGATTGCTTCATGTAATATATAAACAAGCAACAATGGTGTGCTTTCTACACTTTATGCTCACACTATACATGTAGTTGTTTTCCTAACGGGGTTTTAACTGCTATTCAGTTATAACTGAAATTCTACTGAAAGGTTACTGAATGACAAAGCTCTGTCCTTCAGTGACCTTTCAGTTTACTGATCGCTTCAGACCTGGCCTGGGGGCCATAAAACTTAGATGATCTCACTTTTGATCTCAGTCTCACTTTTACCAAAGGAATATATAGTGGAAAAGTGAGACTGGGATCAAAAGTGAGCTCGTTTAAGTTTTATGGCACCAAGGCCTGTTCACCCTTGCCGGTTTTCTTACAATTTACGGTAGAATTTTTTTTCATTCTCATTGGGGAAGAAAATAAGACAAGGTAAAATTTTCCGGTGTATACATGTTCATATACATTGTTTTTTGTTCCTGAAGCATGTACATCGCACTACCACGGCCGCTGTGTGAGCCTGTATGACGATTGTCACGTGGGAGACAGGTATAGTTACAACTACTGTGGCTTCCTACAGAAATGTTGTGTTACTCCGCATAGTACACACACCACCACAGCCGCACCACACCACGGAGGCGGAAGTGTTTCCACTCATAATAACGGTGGGTATAAAAAGATCGATAAAGTATGCTACAAAATGTGAGTTTATTGTCATTCGTGTCATCTGTCAATCAATTATTACTCACTTCGTCTCAGTAAAACCGTGTTTTTGCCTTTTAATAGACTCATACATGTACTTTATTATAAAAGATGGTTTGCGAACAAATATAAATAATTTATGTCTTATTCTCAAGCAGCAAATTTGTAATGAAAAAAAAAAATAAAACAAAAATGTCAATATATAAATTTTCTTTAAATCGACTGTACATTGTACTTGAAAATACATGCATATAGAAAATTTTAAAATTGAAGTTCAAACGTTATTTCTTAAAATTGAATGTTCTCTTTTCATCACTCTTAAAGCTAGGAGAGGGAATACATGTATTTAAGTTTACCTTGGCTTAATTACTGCATGTCATTTTAGGTGTCATTTTGACTGAAACTTTATGATGGTAAATGAGATAGTTTAATGCTTAAATTTTGAAGCGTTTTGTGTTCTATTTACAGGACAGTGTGGAACTTCATCAGTAGGTTCTACCCATACCAAAATTGTTGGTGGTACTACTGCCTCACATGGGGAATTTCCATGGCAGGTTTGAAAAAAATTAAAAGAAAAAATTAACATTTTATTTGCTTCGGTCGAGATTTAGGACATGCAAACAAGCTGGTACATGTAGTAATTGAATAAAAAAAGTTTTCTTGTTTGTGCTCATGAGCCTGCAGAACTAGTTGTTTCCTGTTTTTAAGGTGTCGCTGATGTATGGCGGAAGTCACGTGTGTGGTGGTACACTTATTGACTCACAGTGGGTCGCTACTGCTGCTCACTGCTTTGAAGAGTAAGTAGAATTTTTTATGAAATATTGGTTTATTCAAAACTTAGTTTTGACAAACTTCATATTAATCGTAAAAAATTAGCCAGATACATATGTACCCCAGGCCAAAGTTGTTGGCGAGTATATATGAAGTTCAAAACTATCCAACAATGGTATTCTGCCAAAAATAAAATAATCTTAATTTCTGTTCGGTATGTGCATAGAAAATCAGAGTGCCATCTTTTTTGCTACCATTATAATTAATCAAAGAAACAAGTTCGGTTTCAGCGCGAACTCCTGTGGTTTCAGCTTGACAGTCATCGACTCACATTAACTAGGTTTTCTGTTTGTTAAAAGTTACCACAACGTTCGTCACTGGACTGTCGGTGTGGGTCTTCACGACCGCCACCATATCTATACAAGTCAAGTCCACCATGTCCGCAACTTGATTGTCCACTCTGGCTACAATTCACGTACAAACCTCAACGATATTGCCCTGATGAAACTGGACAAACCAGTAGCTATCAACACTCAGTATGTCCGAGCTGCTTGTTTGCCAGACTCTAATGATCATTTCGAACAAACGACGTGTACAGTTACTGGATGGGGTGCCACCTACTTTGGTGAGTGGTTTAAAATTTACACTTAACAAAAATGTGTGGGGGGGGGATGAAAATTAATTTTTATAGGTAACGTTTTAAACATTGACTAATAAATGATATTGGATTGAAAAGAAATGTACCTCGGTACACATATAGTCATATGTGTGTGACTAGTTTACATTATAAGTACCAGATAATATTATTTTGAATATAATGTATTCATGAGATTATTCCTTATAGGCCTAAAATTCGGAATTTTTTGACAACAAAGTACTAGTATATAACAGTAAAATATCTCGTTTAGGTATTGAAATAAGCAGAAAGTTAATTATATGCATGTACATGCACATGTTAACATTAAATTAATTAATATGTCTTCTTTGTTTGCTTTAGATTTCTTCTTCAGGAACAGAGAGAGTTCAATTTTATCACGCATGAATGAAATCCAGAAAATAAATGATATGACATCTTTTGCAGAAAAAAAACTTGTTTAGTATTACATGTACAAGTAAACATGTCCGTGTCCATTAAAATGCCTTCATGTCTTACCTATCACACTTCTTGCTCCTTTTATAAGAACGACGGCTAAGTCAAGTTAAACATTGAAATGTTTTAATGTTTTGTTTATGTTGTCATGTTTTGCCTATAACACATTCTGCTCCGTGGACAGGAACAGTAGCTGAGCTAAGTTAAACATTAAATTGTTTTCATGTTTTTCCTATAACACTTGCTCATTAGATTAGAACGACGGCTAAGTCAAGTTAAACATTAAAATGTTTTCATGTTTTGCCTATAACACTTCTTGCTGCTTAGATAAGAACGAGGGCTAAGTCAAGTTAAACATTAAAATGTTTTCATGTTTTGCCTATAACACTTGCTCATTAGATTAGAACGACGGCTAAGTCAAGTTAAACATTAAAATGTTTTCATGTTTTGCCTATAACACTTGCTCATTAGATTAGAACGACGGCTAAGTCAAGTTAAACATTAAAATGTTTTCATGTTTTGCCTATAACACTTCTTGCTCCTTAGATAAGAACGGCGCTCCCGGAACCAGATATCTACATAAGGTGGATGTCCCAACAATGACTAACTCTAACTGCCGATATTTCCTTGGAAATTCAGCTGTTCACAACAGCAACATCTGCGCAGGTTTACGTCAAGGTGGCAAAGACGCTTGTCAGGTAACCACAGTAGATGGAATCGGACTAACATATTAATCAGGGGCATGGACACAGAGTTGAAACACATTATCTTAAAAATAATTCAGAATTTCATTTTCTACATATTTCAAGGGCGTTTTCGACATAGCCTGGTATGTTAAGTTCGATAACTATCGCTAGCGTCGATCGAAGTGGTTTTCTTTAAGTCATGGAGTAAAAAGTTGATCCCCACCTTGCATGTTCGATGCCCAATGTGGTATATTATACTTCTGCTTTCAGTTGTTGTAACAAAATCATGAGCGATTAAACTGACAGATATATATTGTTTTAGCACAAATCTGAAGCGAAGATCCTTCCATGCATTTATATGTATTACATGTAGAGCTTCTTTGTTAAGACAATTATTCCAGATGCAGAGGAAATGTTCCATGAGAGTTTTATACCTCTGGGCTTACTTGCTTTTACATTTTTGCTTGCACTCTGTTTGGAAACTAGTTAATATTTAAAGGCGTTGAATAAAATCCTGCTAATGTTATTGTCTAGCTCGCTTTCAGAAAGCCTTGAAAGAGGATACTGTCAATGCTTAATAGCTTTAGTATTCTTTGCTTGCAACAAAAGCCAAGGATTGAAAGATTGGGTCCTAAAAGCAGTCATTGCTTTATAGCTTTCTAGTTCTTTGCTTGCAACAGAACGAGGAAATTCAGATTTGTAGTCCTGCGGTGTTCAGATAGATAACTAATAAAGTAAAGTTACATTTAACATTCAGATAACCATGGTAATGCCCCGGGTGCTCAGTACTTAAGAAAGGTAGATGTACCGACGATGACAAACTCCCAGTGTCAGTATTTTCTGGGTAGAAATCACGTGCACACCAGTAATCTCTGCGCAGGTCTGAGAGCAGGCGGGAAAGATGCTTGCCAGGTTCGTAGGATCGCGTGTTTTTCATGGAAATTGGTCATGTTATGTGAAAATTTCATTCCTGTGGGATTGAGAATTATGCCTCTTTTTGTAAAAGCTTGCTCTTGTGTTGTGTTTTATTGAATTGATGTCCGAGTTGTAATACTTTATTCTTAATAACTGTGACTGTGCTTCTTGTTTTTGATGTTCCACAGTTTTTCTTGAACTGCTTTTGAATCGTTCTTGGTTGCTTTGCTCCTAAAATTTAGGATTCCTGTTTATTCAAATTTAAATTATTGTTATTGTTACCTACTGATGTGACAGGTGTTTGCATCTTTTACGATTAAAAGCTTATTTATCTATTCTTGTTTTCTTGCTTTTATGTTATTCAGTGTACTTTTATTCCCTAATGGTTATGCGCTTCTTGCTTTGATATTCAACGTTTTTTTTTTTTTGCATTGCTTTTGATTCGTTCTTGGTTGCTTTGCTTATAAGGTTAAAGGATGCCTGTTTATTCAAGTTTTATTTTTTGTAATTCTTACTTACTGGAGTGACAAGTGTTTGCATCCTTTACAATTAAAAGCTTCTTCATATGTTCTGTTTTTCTTGTTTTTATGTAATACATGTTCTTTTGTTTTTTATATGGGTATGTGCTTCTTAATTTGCTTTTGATGTCCCACAGTTTTTCTTGCTTTGCTGTTGATTCGTTCTTGGCTGCTTTGCTTATTAAAATAAAGGATGCCTGTTTATTCAGGTTTTATCCATTGTAATTCTTCCTTACTGATGGTTAAGTCTTTGCCTATTTATAATAGAGAATTAATGAAGAAAAACTAATCTTTTTTTGCATTTATCTGTTTTTTTGTAACAAATCTTGTAACAAATATGATGCAGTTATTATGCAACTATTTCAATTAAATATAATCAATGAATATCTGAAAAATTAAATTTTTGACTATTTGTTATAATGAAATCATTTTCCATAACAAAAACCCAGAGACTTTTTTAACTATTTGTGTTATCAAATATATTTTTCCAGGGTGATAGTGGCGGACCTTTAGTGTGTAAGAAGGACGGAGTGTGGAAATTGGCGGGAATCGTGTCCTGGGGATACGGCTGTGGGGACAGGAACGCCCCCGGGGTGTACACACGTGTCAGTTCCTTCATCTCTTGGATCAACCAACAAAAAGCAGCTCATTCATAGATGTACAAAAATATACTCATTATTTGTGGTATAAAGGAAAAAAGAAAAAATGCTTGTTCTTTCCTCAAAAATTGTTGTTTTTGGAAAGCTTTTCCCCAGTACCAAAAATTGGTATAGATCGTTGTTTCGATCTTATATGTTCAATTTAGTTAATACAAAACAAGGTTTTTAAATCAATGATTTTTTTTAGTTCAGAGAAATACATCTTTCATAGGTTTTTGTCAAAATAAGATTATTGATATGTCAGATTTGAATAACGACTTTTTAACCTTTGATTTATGCTTTCAAGTACGTTTCCTTTACATATGGCGAATACTCATGGAATGGCTAATGATATAGGTAACTCCAGATTTCCTTACCTTCTGATAGAGTCCATAAATAGATAAATGTTGGTACCAAGTGCAGGAGTACCGAGAACTATTTTTCTAACGTTTCAACTGCCAGTCGAAAATATTGCAGCTCTTTGACGAAAGAAAACAATAAAGCCTTTTTATAATTTTTACTGCCATTTAACCTGCGAAGACAATGTGTAGCCAGACAGTAATGTTTAGACCTATGTTGTTTGTGTATTGTAAAAAGTATTAGGTGCTTACATTGAACACATATAATGGGTTTCAATATCTCCATGTTGTTACACATCAAAGGTCGTTTGATTAAGTAGCAAAAGAGAGGAGTAGTGTTGCTAATTTTTCTGCCATTTTGAATCTCTTCGCAAAGTAAATACCATAATAAACTATAATGAATTTAAACTTTTTTCTGAATATTAAATGATTACAAGGGAATGAAACTCTATTCATTAGCTATATAGTACAGAGATAAAGAAAGGTTAACAAGGAAATACAGACCAGAAATGTGAAAAACCTCACCTTTTACTTAACGATAGCAATTGAAACAAATCAATGATCTGCTTATTTGATTTCAATACGATTTTAAGAGGAAGCTATAAGTCATTCGAAAATAGCATCCCTTTGTCTTTCTTTCGAGAGAAAAGGCCCAATAAAACCTTAAAATAAAAGTTTATACATGTAAATGACGGATCGTTTAAAGGAAAAGAAAATTAATGTCATTTGTTATGTAATGATCTCAAATATATGACACTTTTTGAACACTTCAAGATTTCTTTCTCTATTAAAAAATGCTCATATTACAACATGATCCTTTAATCTTGGGTCTGATTGCACGTTATCTAAGTGTCAAGTCTGCGATTCTCACGAATTTTCTCACTTCGGTCTCTTTCTACAAACTGAACTGGTCATAATGTGGCTCATCAACGTTTGTCTTCTGTTTCTCGGAGTACAATATACAGCAGCATCAAGTAAGCTTCTCCATGACCAAGAATTAGTTACCGATATCCATCGTCAATATATACTATTTTGAATTGCCATTCAACACAAATGGTAAAAGAAGTTTACGTAAAGATAGTCGTCCAAGAAATGTCTTAGCTGAAATTCGAGAACAAAACATATTTTACCTTACTGCAGGGAAGGAGAGTAAGATGAATGTTTTGAGGGTTAAATTTCTTTTACCTGTATATTATGAAATATACAAGTAAAAGTAATGATCTTCAATAGTTCCAAACCTTCAAGCTTACAATTTGTATTTTAAAAAGAATTTATTTCAAATCTATCAAAAATACTTAATGGCATCATTTTAAAACATGATTATACATTTGGTATTGATTTGGGAAGAAATAATATATTACGAGAACGTGAAAGGTATATTATATCACTATCATTCTCAGTTCCATGGGGTCAATGTACTTAAAAAATGTAGTTATATAATAAAGTTAGGTAAGAAATGGTACATGGATGATTAAGGAGGCTGGGGGATCAACAAATTGACCACAAATTAACCACCAGATTTAACTTATTTTCTTAGGGTATCTTAAGCTGTCAACTATCATTTGGCAAAGAAAAAATTCATACATTTTAGTTTTAAAATTTGATCATTTTTGTATATCTTTATATGGAGCTCTTCTTTCAAAGGAGATAGAAATAGCCTGAAAATGGCTGCCACCCCAACCTCTTTAATTTGATCCTTAAATCAATGATCATTTCTTGGGAATATTAAGCTAGGCAACAATTCACACTTGTACATTTTAAAGGCAAATTTACACGAGTACTGTTTTCAAATTTTTATTGTTAAAAAGTTACCTGCACTAAATTAACTTCTTTAATTTGATAAAGTGTGATATTTGAAGGAAGTTTTTTGCCATTAATTAAGCATTGTAAATGATAAAGAAATCATCCTTAAGTTTTTGGCACTAAAATGATTAATTGCATTCGAAATGGTCAACTCTAAGCACAGGTCGAGCTCCATAATTTAATAGAAGATAAATTAAATAACGTTGTATACGTACACATCTACATGCAGTGTATGTCAAATATATTCCAAATTTATTTCTTGATACTAAAATACATGTAACATAAGGTATTTTCATTCTTTTTGAAAAATTTTTAAAATAACCAGAAGAGAACAGAAAAAAAATCGATGTACGAATTTTGTTTTTACAAATAAAAAAAAATTAAACTAAATAAATTCCAATAAAAATATATTGAAATATATGGAGATAACGCAAAGAATTCAAGCTCTGCAAAAGCAGAGCAAACACCGACTTCCATAATATCAAAGGTTGGATCAGGTGCCATGAGGAGTGGGCATCCCCTGCCGACCGGTCGTGTACTCTTTGTCATGATCGGGAAATAACAGAAAATCAGTCGTCAAATCAGTGTGTAAACACTGGACTAACAATTATATGAAAAACATCAGTCAGCATATGACTTTTAAATGCATTTAAAATAAAGCTTCATCGATCATTATTTTATCTTTGTTTAAGCATGTTCCACTTCACTGCATGGTCGCTGTGTACATTTATATGACTATTGTCACGTTGGAGACAGCTATACGTATAACTTCTGTGGATTCCTGCAGAAATGTTGTATCCCTCCGACTTATGTACAAACACACACCACACCACCCCCACATTCCGGAGGTGTGTCCCCGAATAATGTAGGTAAGACCTTTAATGTGTTTGTGTGATCACCGTTCACTTCAAGCAGCATCCATTTTTTGTTGTATTTAATGTAAGTCTTGGTTTTTCTTGTACATATAATATTGAACGAATCTGGCCTTCATAATATAACAAAATATATGTTTATACAGTCACCATTGCCTGCGTCAATTAAAAATTAAGTTGAAAATTTATTCATTTTGTTTATAAATTAAAGTAATGAAAATATTGTGAAACACAAAATTAAAAATGATAGCATTATACATTTAACAATGTCAAATAATTATTATTTTCCTGAATGCTTACTTAAAGAAAATTGAACAAAATTTGACTAGAAAACGAGGTACATGTAGGCCGCTTGTGAATTGGATGGCAAACGTCTAACATGAAAGATACTCATCTTTTAAAGCAAGCAGTATTATTCATCTTTTCAATGATTATGACACCTTTTATTCATAAACTTAGTCAAAATGCAACATACCTCGTTGTCTTTGAGTTCCCATGGGCATGCGTGTCTTTATACGGTTTACGTACTACAAGTGTAAATATCATGAAAAGACTGAGTTCGTAATTGAAGACCTTATTTAATTGGTCTTTAATTACAAAGACTTATATTGAATTCTTGTTTCATCAGCTTGTTTGCCAATAACTTACCACTCTTTATAATTTTCAGCGTTTATATAGCGTGTATATCTTTAACTCGAGAATGTGTAAGATACTTATCATAAAACCACTAATCTTTTTTTTTTCTTTATTCTTTAAGCCAGAGGCTCATCAGATTATATAGATTCTGGACATTATCTTCAACGTGTACGAGTATGTAAGATATATAAAATTTTATTTACAACTTTTGATCAACAGCCCAATGCGGAACTTCATCGGTAGGTTCCACCCATACTAAAATAGTGGGCGGTACTACAGCATCACATGGGGAATTTCCATGGCAGGTTTGACAACAAACTTTTTTCCTCCAAACAATTGTATGCATTATGTTACATATCTTATCTCAGAATTATGATTTCGCTTTTACCAGTATTTTTTATGACAGAGACAGTAAACTTCCTGTTTTACAGGTGTCGCTGATGTACGGCGGAAGTCACGTGTGTGGTGGTACACTTATTGACTCACAGTGGGTCGCTACTGCTGCTCACTGCTTTGAAGAGTAAGTATATGATTTTTTTTTCACAATATGTTTTAATTGTAAGATAAATTGATGAATATAACCTGCTAATAGTTAATTATGATTGTGTAAGACTTGTACGTACAGTGTTAATATACATGTACTAATTCAGTATGAAAAGGAGGAATGAAATTACATACATGTATTTGGAAAATTTATAAATCACTATAGTCAGAATCAATACTCTAACCACTGAGCTATATGAATCAAGGTTGATATCTTCAGTCCAGCCTAAATTGCTTCATTTTTAATTGGAAAGCACTGAACATTTCTAGACGTGATCTAAAATGTTAGAAACTTACCAAGTAAGAAAAATTAAACAATGTACACAATGTTGTCCTCCACTATCTAACAGTGCAGTTTTCATTCTCTCTGTAGCTACCACAATGCTCGGTACTGGACCGTGGGTGTGGGGATGCACGATCGCCACCATGTGTATACAAGTCAGGTCCATCATGTCCGCAACTTGATTGTCCACTCTGGCTACAATTCACGTACAAACCTTAACGATATTGCCCTGATGAAACTGGACAAACCTGTAGATATCAACAGTCAATACATCCGAGCTGCCTGTCTGCCACATTCTTACGACCAATTCGAACAAATGACGTGTACAGTTACTGGATGGGGTGCCACATATTTCGGTACATATTGATTTAGAAACCAAAAGTAGCAGGGTTGATTGTTTGTTAAATGTTCCTGACAATGTTTTGCTCATATTTAGAGGGTTCCCATTGCCAATGGAGGGTTTTTACTCAGTTTATAAAATAAATAACTCGCATTGCACGATGCTATTAATATGTCGTCCTTCTTTGCTATCTAGATACGAACATGTCTATTGACTAAATACTTTTGACGGTAGTAGTACTTCTATTTTTCATTGCTTGCAATTACTTAAGTAAACGTCATTGACAAATTATTGCAACTTACCAAATCCTTGCTGTATACAATTAAATGAAAATTTTATTACTGTTTATGAAGCGATTGGATTTTATTTGGCTAATAAAGCGGGGAGATTAATGTAAGTTAATAATGCCAAAACTTGTATTATTCCATGCTTATTTTTCTTGGCCTTTAAACATTTGGCTCCTCGAATTAAAACGGTTCTTTTTCTTTTCATCTTTGCTATTATTTTCAATTTTTGTATGAAAAAAAAACCAATCTAAGTATAGTAAAATGTCCTTTATTAAAAGCAGTTTAAATTTTTTATTCAGATAACAACGGCAATGCCCCGGGCGCTCAGTACTTAAGAAAGGTTGATGTACCGACGATGACAAACTCCCAGTGTCAGTATTTCTTGGGTAGAAATCACGTGCACACAAGTAACATCTGCGCAGGTTTGAGGGCAGGCGGAAAAGATGCCTGTCAGGTTTGTATCAATTACAATTTGTAACATGGAAATTGCAGGACCATCAGGGAACTGGTTTTACACATTCTTTACCGTACAGGCATCTGGCTAGCATAAGATAAATGGAGGGCATAAAGTATATTTATGGCACGCCAAATTCACAAAAATGAGATAAACCTAGTTTCACATTTGATAAACTAGGTTTATCGACTGTAAACTATAGTTTACAAACCGTAAACTATAGTTAACGATTCGTTAAGTATAGTTAACGATTCGTCAAGTATAGTTAACGATTCGTTAAGTATAGTTTTCATCTGTAAAACTATATTTAAGGGTTGTTAACTATAGTTTACGAATGATAATCTAAGTTTATCTGTCTGTAATAAGCGTTAACAATAGATTTTGTTGATAAATATAGATTCACGTTTGAAAACTATAGTTTACAATCGTAAACTATAGTTAAGAGTTGTTAATCATAGTTTCACAAATCGTGAAACTATATTTATCAGATCGTTAGCTATAGTTAACGGTTTGTAAACTATAGTTTACAAATCGTGAAACTGTATTTATCAGATAATCTATGTTTTGCAATCGAAATGATTGTTTTCAGTGTTAAGTTTAGTTTACGGTTGTGAAACATAGATTATCGCGTTAACTATGGTTTACGGATGTAAAATATAAATTAACGTTGTTAACTATAGTATACAGTCCGTAAACTATAGTTTACAACCGATAAACCTAGTTTATCGACTGTGAATCTATGTTTGGCTCATTTTTGTGAATTTGGCGTGCCATATATATTGTTGCATGGTTTAGATCTTTTGTTTTTTGTGAAGTTAAGTGCATGTTAAACTAAGAGTTACTGGAGATCTCTTTTAGTATTTTTCACATTATAATGAAGATTGTGTTAGTTTTTATGTTATCTAATCAATGAATTGAAGTTTACTGCAATGAGATTTCTGTCCCAAAGTCATTGTATATTTTTTTTATTTAATCATTTTGCAATTCTAACTTTCAACCGTAAAAATACTATAAAATTTTGTAAAAGATTAAATAACATATGGAAAGCCTTAGGACATTATTCAATCTAAATGAAAACTAGAGGTACTGTGAGCAATGAGCTCACTAAATGATACCCCCCGCCTCCCATATGAATATAATGGCAGTGTCCATGTTTTGCTCTAGAAAATCAAAAATATATGTCAGATCAAAAAGTAAAATAGGAGGTGCACAATGGCAATATGTAATTAAGAATCTGTGAAAGTTTCATTAAATTTCCTTCAGTGGTATGAGAGGAGTTGCGGATAAGAGATGGGTACCCCAAAGCGTAACAGACGGACGGACGGAAATACCGATTACTATATACCCTCCCACTTTTCAAGCGGGGGGTATAACTAAAGCTTATTCAAACAAAGAAGAAAACAATGGTCCAATGCACGTACAATGTATTTCACATTTTTAGTGAAAAAGATTCATGGATTCAACAAAATTATGTTTCTTTAATATGTTTTATCACAATGTAAATAAAATAAAATACAAACATCTGGTAAAATGTTTTCAGGGTGACAGCGGTGGACCTTTAGTCTGTAAGAAGGACGGAGTGTGGAAACTGGCGGGAATCGTGTCCTGGGGGTACGGCTGTGGGGACAGGAACGCCCCCGGGGTGTACACACGTGTCAGTTCTTTCCTCACTTGGATAAACCAACAAAAAGCAGCTCATCCTTGATCTCTTCACAATAAACTTTTTTTAATGAAATGGTATAAAGAAAAACATACTAACATGTGTTTGTTGTGTCTTTTGGAAAGTCATTCATATCCTTAGTTACCTATCGTGGATGACTTGAAAAGACTTATTCAAATCTTATTATTCATATTGAAGGTGATTTTTAACCAAATAAATTGCATATGCTTTCAGTCTTAGCTCTTCTAAAGGAGATCAAATAGTCTGAAAATGGCCACAACTAGCCAGGCCTCTTAAAATGCAAGTCCATATCAGATTTATAGGAAACAGTTTGTATTCAAAGCAACATCCTAATCTCGAACCCAACTGGACCAAGAAAAACCTTTGCGATATCCAATGATTTTCATAGCTTATTCTGGGTAAAAATACATAAGGAAAACGTATTTTGGACTGTACATTCACTTTAACATACTGTACTCCGTATCCAGTGTATCTGAGATATCCGTGCCCCTTTTATGAATGTGCATTTGTTTGAAACTTTGAATAAATGTTTGGTCTTTGTAATTGAAATACAAGGTCAGCATAATGCAGAAAAGGGAGTATGAAAGCTTTCCAGTTCAGTTCATATAAATTAATTTATTTTTGAACTTTGCTTTCAACGAAAAATAAAAAATAAGGGTCAAGTACAAAATTAGACGAAAATAGTCCTATACACATAATCTGCAGTAAATCAGTTTTGTTATTATAATATTTTTGAAAGATCATAAATACTCATGTATAATTATATCAGTTATATTCTTATATAAATATATGTACAAAACGATAAATGAAATTACTTTTTAATGAATATTTACAAGCTCTTTGATTAAAATAATTTAGCATAATAAAAACCAAGAATACATGTAAAATAACAACACAAACTTTTTTTTTTACAGTTTGACAGGTCGACAGATAGATAGATTTACAGGCTGACAGGTCGACAGGTAGACAGCTTTTTTTTATATTTCCATGTATATTTATTCAGCTATATCACTACTTGTATCATCTTAGGAGGGGGGTCACTCATATCATAAGATACATGTACATGTACACTGAATGCCTAAAAGTGTAATTTTTATTCTCATTTCATATGCGCAATGTCTGATAACAGTTAGATGTATACATCTCCATTTGACAATCCAAACCTATGTCGACATATTGACAGGTCAACAGAATTACATATTTAAATAAACATGTCTACCTGTCGACCTGTCAAACCGTCGACCTGTCAACCTGTCGACCTCTCAACTTGTCAACCTGTCGACCTGTTAAGCAAACATAGTAGCATTTTTATGAACAGATGATCTTTTAAATTAATTCATATGCAAGATAAATATCTTGTTTTGTACATTTATGATCCATTTGGTATGATAATTGGTTGACAATATAGAATGAAGTTGGTTGGTATAACTAATTCACCAACAATGGCCCTAAATATTCATTAATATTTACATTTAATTCATATGCAAAATATGCTAATTTATCTTGTTTTGTACATTAATGAATATAAATGAATATGCAAAAATATATATTCTTACGAGAAAAAAATGGAACTATTTTCATAAAGACAATATCAACAAAAAATCCACAATCAAAATTTTATCAGTATAGAGAATGAATATCGTAACGTATACTGAGCATTTAGAAAGATTATTTGAAAGTCCAAGAAATTTACAATGAATAAAATGATGGTTGAAATAACCTTTGATTTATAAATACATCATTTAACGTTTATGTAACAAATAATGAGTCACAAAGTCTCTACTGTTCATATTAAAATAGAGACATATAATAACTGATAAGTCTCCTTACATATAGAACCATTCACAAAATAGTGTAACGATCTCGCCTGACATTTAAAAATAACTACTGTTGTCAAATTACCAACAATTGTAATATAATTTTATTCAAAAGATCTACTTTAAAAATAAATATATTTCAATTATTTATCCAAAAGATGGCTTGGATTTGCATGTGGGAAAATCTTGAATAAATCATTTACAGTTATCGTCTTCTTACTATAAGCAAAAACGAAGAACACGTAGCGAGATTAATAAGATTTTAGTCCATGAAAAGCAAAGTAAACGGTGAAAGAGCAAACGATGGCCATCTAAAAGAGTCAGTGATGAGATGAGGTATAAGAAGGGATATAAGTTTCGCCTGGACAGTTAACATGCTCCGTGCTCATTCTACTGATCATACAAACGGACAAATCCGTAAATAGCTAACTAAAGACTTAAAGGTTTAAACTGATGACTTAATTAACAGGATGAATTAAAACGTCAATCAACAATTAATCGTATTAAAAATATATTTACCTGCTAACAAGGTCGTCGTACCATCTGGACAATAGAATTCGTAATACTTTGACTTTTACGTAAAGTTTTTATTTTTTTAATCAAAATTAAGGGTTTTATTTCCCTCATGCATACATGTAGCTCAGATCCTTCGACGCATTTGGTTCCTGTCTTTGGCACCCCAAATTTTCAGCTTCAAGGTTATTTTGAATGAAACATTTCAGTTTCCAAACTTAGATATGATCATCACTATAGAGACATAATTTATCAGAATTCGAATCTGATGCATCTGAATTGGTACCGTTTATGATTTACATTGTATTATCAATTTATTTGTCTGTAGATGGCCACATTTTAGTAAAGTCTGGTCATTGTACGAAGAGCGAACAAATCTACCATAATGGACTTCCACTGATACATCAATACGTCAACTTTCCTTACCTATGCAGCAATGTACCTTTATTACCTACATACGGGGTTTAACATCTCTCAGTTGATTCAATGCGCGAGAGCATGCCCTACGTAACTATGAACAATTTTAAAAGGAGGTTGGTAATTGAAGCAATTCGGGTGTGATCGGTCGGCAAAGGATGCTCACTCCTCCACGGCACCAGATCAAACCTCTGATGTTTAAGACGTCCTTGTTTGCGCATCTTTTGATTTGTCTTGTTTTATATATGGACTTTTGAGCTTAAATATATGTACTGTGCATTATCACCATATAATTCATGATATTAATTTCCAGGACCAAAAAACACTAGGAAATAAAACGTTTCTGAACCGATAAAAAAATTTAATGTCTTCCTGTATAGCTATTAGCTATTAAGGTCCACGTTATCATTTTTGTACTTAATCACACCACAAGGACTTCACAGAACGATGTGATTAGGTTTCTGATATTATTATACATGCGTCGGTTTCTTATCATTGTCCTGCTTTTAACACTCGGCAGCCATGACAGGGAATCCATTGAAGTTTTGCCTTTTCCTTTCATTGATTGGAGGAGTGGCATTACAAGATTGTATGTAAAATTTCACAATTTATTTTTCAGGTTTTGGTAAAACGAATAATTTTCGAAAATACTTAATACTTTTAAATAATTTCATATTTCATTTTCATCAATAAGAAATGAAGTTCTTGAACTTAAATCAGAAATCACACATATAGATTTAACATTTTTTCACAAACTGTTTATTGCAAATTATATAATTTTATTAAACTTAAAGCAGAAAATCAACATTGAGAAATGGCGAGTTCTGCCAAATATTAGCAAAATATGATCTTTTGGTGAATTCTATTGACCTACAGTATGGATGATTAATTTTTACTTAATAAAATGTTTCTTATTTGATCAGAATAGTTTATTTAAAACTGCCTATAATTTTCAGTGTGTCACACAAATTATGGAGGAACCTGCGTTAATTATTACTTTAATAACTGCCTGTCCGGCTACTCCTATACCAGAAGTGGATGTGGTTTTCAGGAAATGTGCTGCATTCCTCCAAAGTTTCAACTAACTCCGCCCATCCATCCCGGTATGTATGAATATACATGTAACAATATATGGCATAGTAACTGTTTTAAAATTATTTTCTAAAACTAAGAAATATTCTTGATGTAGTTAATGATACAAAAATAGCCAACTTAATTATGTATTGATGAAATAATTTCTCATTTCAATTTTACTTACGAGTCAATGAAAACTGAGTTCTTTGGTTTTTTTTCTTTGTTTAATTACATGTAATTGACCATAAAACAGAATTCATCATACTTTATTAAATTAATTCAAAAACACCAAAATAATCCGGCTTATAAAGGCTGCTTGTTTTCATGAAATGGTCTCTTTGATATCGTGGAATCAACAGAGACAGATAATTATGCATGTACATTTACAAACATATTTTTGTCCAGGGTTGATATTATTCTCTTGTGATATTTCTTGAGGTCAGTGTGGATTAAGTACACCTATAACGACACATCAGTATAAAATAGTGGGAGGCACAAGGGCTAAGCCTGGCGAATTCCCATGGCAGGTACATTTTATTACAAAATATTTTTTTCTTTGAAATTTGTGTGAAGAAAATAAATCGTGCGGATATGTTGACTTAAATAATTTGTACTGTTTATTCTATTATATGTTTATATTTAAGTATCATTTTTTCAACACTTTCTTTTATATTTTAAACTTGTTTTACACCTACAATTTGAGTGTTACATATCTCAGTTAATTTTTAGATTATACATAATAAATATACATATCAAAGAGTGGTAACTTTTCTAGAATCCAACTTTATATCATGAAAGGTTTCAATGAGATCAAATGGACATCACGTGTGCGGTGGGATACTTATAGCTGATCAATGGGTTCTCACAGCTGCGCACTGCTTCAATGAGTAGGACTTAGTTGGATTGGAGCAACTAGATTTGTGTCATCCTCATCGGGAATCATTGGCCATTTGCAAAAACTAATTAAAGAATTTAATCCAAAAAGGCTATATAATACAATGTGTTGACAATAAACTGATATTTTATTTTGAAGTCTTATAAACTTTAAATAACGTAAACCATCTTCATTCGCATGCTAGAAGTGTTTTTGTATCCAGTAAATCACATCGCAATCTAATTATTTTAGCGTATATTAATCTAAAATGAGGAATTTCTGAATAAGAGGTTCAAAATTATGTACAGTAATTGCTAAACAGTATCTTTCTAAGTTTTTTTTCTTTTAATCACAAAAAGGAACAAGAATCCTAGAGCTTGGACAGTAGTGGTGGGAGAAAATGACCGGGCTGTGCTGGAGGGGCACGAAATCCTAGAGAAAGTGGATACCCTTTTCGTCCACTCCCACTATAGCCAAAGTCAGTACTTCAACGACATAGCAATGTTAAAATTAGGGAACCCTGTTCCCGCCTTTACAGAGTACGTCAGACCCGTCTGTCTCCCGTTAGCCAATGAGAGCTACGATGGAATGATTTGTACAGTGACCGGTTGGGGCGCTGCGTATAGCGGTAAGCCAATCACATATCTTGGATCTTACTTTTCCAATTTTATCTAAAAGTCCAAGGCTTTACATGTACGAATAATATATGTACACTGTGTATAAAGAACATTCTTCTGTCAGTGAAAGGAAATATTTAGGATTATCTTTACAATGCAAGAACATTTTAAGAAAACAATTTTTAAAAAATATTTATATCATTTCATTTGAAAATTAATTAAATATTCATTCATACTAATTAATTGTTTTTTGATTTACAGGTATTAATTAGAATTTTGTTTTCTTGAAACTCATTAACAGGCGGCCTTGGTACACGTGGCCTGTATAAAGCAAACGTTCCTCTGATCTCCAATTCAGTGTGTTCATATCTAATGGACAAAACTATTCCGGATACAGAAGTCTGTGCTGGCAGAAAACATGGTGGCGTTGACTCGTGTCAGGTACAATCTAATCGCAACTTCTCGGGCCTTTCATACTAGCCGACCTCTAACGGAAAGACCCGAGATGATGAGATTGAGGTATAATCCTCTCTTAGAAATTTGGAAACGTTCTCCGGTTGTCGCACAGTCATTGAAATTTACGTATTAATATTATTAAAAGCATTCCTATGAAATGTTGAAAACTTACCGAAGCCCCTTCAGTCGCTGATATGGAAACACGAATCTGTTCAGAAATTGAATAAAAACAGAATCTGGTGAACATGTATTTATCAGGCTTGAATTTGATCTGGGCAATAATTCTTGTTACATGTACATTTAACAAGTCAAAACGTGTTATAAGTAAGTTTTTTAAAACTGTAAAATAAAATAAAAATGAAATTATTTAGCCACACGCGATTAATAATAGATATACATAATTATACACTTAACAAAACTTCTAAGTGTTCGCTTTAATAAATGCATTTATTTAAAAACTACCTTAATTATAGAATGGTATGATATTTTCAAATTATTACAACAAAAAAGTCTTCTCAACAATTGTAGAAAGAAAAAAAAATATCACCGATGAAAACCAGTGTACCGTGACGAAGCTTAAAAACAATAAATCTGTACTTTACGGCGCGTATTTTGAGTAATAAGCAATTTTTTGTGATCATTATCAAATTATAAAACTGGTTTCACTAAAAACACAAAACATTGGCAAAATGATCATTAAGATAGAAGGGAGACTGTCGGAATGTTGATATCTGGACCATCCTTGCACTACGTTTTACTCACTTTTATTTTAGTGTTTAATTGTTCTTGATATTACTTTTAAAAATTAACAACCAGTTTCAAAACTCATTTAAACAATTTTCCCATAGGCTGTGCGTAATTTTTCATCGCCAATTTATCACAATTTGAAAGTTTTGGACAAAATTTAACCAAACCGGTAGTGACCTTAGCATGATCTTCGTCTGAGGCCAAAATTTTGCGTCACACCAGGTTAAGACAATCTTGGAAACATGAAAACAATCGTTTGAAAATGATTAGAAATCGGTGCTCGTGGCAGTCTAATATCAGCTCAAGCAGTCTGAATCATCCTTAAAGCGGTGCACTTACGTGCTAAACACCTTAAGATATTGACCGAAAGGCATCTGTGTGATGATGCACTATCAAATTCCCGGATCTTAATCCCATTGAACACATTTGGGATTTTTATAAGGAATGTCAAAGCCCCCGCCCCCTTCCACACAATTTCAACGGTTTTGACAGATCTATGCAGTAGGTGTGGCAGCAGATTGGTCATTCACCTATTTAGAGGTACATGGTATCCAACAGTAAAAATTGTCTTGTGGTAATTAGAGCGAGTGGCGGTCTTACTCCATAGGGAGTTTTTTGTGTGGATTTTCATTTTGAGGGTACATCATTTCCTTGACACTTTGCTTAAAATTCTGACGAGATATTAACATGAAATGTACGCAACATCCAAGTGAAATATGCATCATTACATGTAACCATGAATTTATGATATTATTTATTGTATGCATTTGTTTTTTAAACTCAAAAAATGTTCGGTGACCACTTAGAAGTTTGGTTCAGCGTACATGTTCAGGTATACGGTCATTTAAATTAAAAAAAAAAAAAGCCGTGAAAAAAGCTTCAAGTTACATTGTAATTCTCCTACCGGTCTGGACCTTCTTTGCTAGAATACACTAAATTAAATACATATCAATAGTCTTCAAGACTGACCCTTAAATGTAAATTTAGCAGCATACATGATACATGTAATTATGCAGTATACAGATTTTGACTTAAATACGAGGGATGTCCCAAAAAGTCGTAGACAATGTTTATAACTTTTTAAACATGCAACCAATACTTACCAAATTTTGCATAGATATAATATATTCAATGGTATCTAAAATTGTGAATTTTTAATTATATATCTTTCATATTAATAATATAAGGACGATTCATATGAAGTCCGATAAGGCCTGTCGGCGCACGAACAAAATTCCGAATAATTTACGCGTATAACTATTACATTTGCTTTTATTTCTTTAGTACTGTGTAAAACATTGAATTCAAATTTAATTCAGTGAAACCACAATCAAAATCTTAATAATGTATCAAAATTCCATATCTAGAAATAGGCGATTTGTGTCGTGATTTTCAATGTGTTGTATTTCAAAATGTTTTGGATATTTTAATTTGGCGAAGGCGCAAATTTAGGATTGTAGAAGTTAAATGAATTTTTTAGTGTATGTGGCAAGATAACGCGACAAGTGTTAATATCTTTTATACCCCCCGCTTGAAAAGCGGGAGGGTATATAGTAATCGTTAATTCCGTCCGTCCGTCCGTCTGTCTGTCCGTCCGTCTGCACGTCCGTCCGTCCGTCTGTTACGCCTTGGGGTACCCATCTCTTATTCGCAACTCCTCTCATACCACGGAATGAAATTTGATAAAACTTTCACAGAATCTTTATTACATATTGCCATTGTGCACCTCCTATTTTACTTTTTGATCCGATACATATTTTGGGTTTCCAGGCCACAGCAAAACATGGACTTTGTCATTATATCTATATGGAGGCGGGGGGTATCATTTAGTGAGCTCATCGCTCACAGTACCTCTAGTTTTTGTTGAGATCTCTTTAATCATCAAACGTCCATCTAAAATCATTATACTTTGCCTAAGCTCATTTGTTGTGCCTCACTGGCCCGCATTTTAAATTTCAAATTCAATAGCACATACATCTTTTAAAGTAATCCTTCAAAATTTATTTCAATTAGCTGGATATTTTTATTTCATATTAAGATGGATGAAATTCGACAAGAACTGCTCAAGTGTGAATGATGGCTTTAAGGTTCATCGATACTCTAATAAGATGAATAACTCTTCATGAAATAAAATGTTTATTATTGCTCAATAAGTTTGTCAAGTTGAAGTGTCTTTTTTTTGTTTTGTTTTTTCCTTGCAAGTTATAACATTAGAGTTTGTATTTCACTTTTAAAAGCATTCCTTATTATAAAAATTAAATTTGGATTTGGATGAGTAGGGGGTTTATTGACCTTAAATCCCTTATATTTTCAGGGGGATTCGGGAGGCCCGATGGTCTGTATCAAAGACGGTGTCTGGAAGATCGTGGGTATCGTGTCGTGGGGGTACTCCTGTGCTGAGGCCTACCAGCCGGGGGTCTACACCCGAGTGTCCGCCTACCTGGACTGGATCCAGTCCGTCCTGGCGTACTACGGGGGCCCCTCCGGATCCGCCCCAGTGGTGGGGAAAAGGGGCGTGGTCCATTATCCATAAACACGCTGTTGTGGAACTTTTATAGATTGTATTTTTAAATTAAAAAAAACAGTATATGGATGAATGTCTTTGAACAACTTGACAATGTTTTAATAACTGACAAAATATACAACCGATTTGAACATTTAATTTCTGTTCCAAAACAGTGGCGAATGAGGGAGTATTTTAGGCTATTTGTTTTCATATTTCAATATTTAGTTTGAAGCCTTAAAGTATCATTTGAAAAACCTCCTTTCAGCAAATATCTATAGTTGGGTAATCCTAAACATACCCCACCCCCTTTCGTCATTCTAAGTAGAACGAATTAGCAATTTTATTTGAACATTTACAAAATGATGGGTGTGAAATTTGACACTTTGCATTTCGACTCTGCTGCAATTATGAATTTAAATTACAATAAAACCTTTTAAGCAAATTTCAGAAAGTGATTAAGATTTACAAAAGTATATGTTTTTTTACATTTGTTGATTCTCAACCCCGGATTTTAAATATTGCTATATACTTTATTTTAAGAAAGTCGGCAAATGACACATTTCTTTGTACCAGATCGTGCCTTGTGTTAAAAGCACTCAACCAAAGGGGATTCAAAATTGAAAAGTTGATTTTATGTTGACATGCTTTTAAAATTCCAATCGGCTCTTGCCATTATCTGAACCGCAGGAAGGGGACAATATATACATAGACTTTTCAAGGTCGTTTACAGATTATTTAATTAGTTGTAAGACAGATTGGTTAATATCCTTATGTACATGTGCATTTCCTATATTCATCATTATCAATAAAACTAGAAGAATACTAATTAAGGATGATGTTTTACTAAAACACCGAGGGAGAGCAATGGCTCAGGTAATGTTAACGAAATATTTCTTTTTTGTAATTATCTTACAGAAAAAAAACTTCTTTTAAATAAACATTTAGATTTAAATGAAGCCCATATATCGATCGAAGACAACAAATTAATTTCATGCCTTGGATAAAATCTTAAGCTTGTAAATAAAATGCAGTTTTATGGCAGTTTATAGATCGCATGCCTTTAATGAATAAAAAAAGTTTTAATATCTTTGCGGATAAAAGAAATAATCCATCCATTCCTACACCACACCCCGATTTGAGAACATCCGAACTTCCTTGTTTGTCATGTAAACATACATGGTGTACCATTTTTTATTACATTTAATGATATCAAAATGAATTTTGTGAAATTCGATAGGCCTAACATCTTTGACAGGATTCATTTTTAAAGATTAATCGATTTTTATGTCCGTGATATTTGAAAATTTTGTCCGTCTAAACATGGAGTGCAGTAAACAAAGTAATTTAACATGAAAGAGGATATACATTCATAAAAGTACAAAGGCACGTTAAAATATTATGAATCAGGAAAATAAGTACATGTATAGATACTTTGTCATTAGATTTTAACAGCATGAAGACTGAACCAGGTGAAATGACATTTAACGCTCTGTTGGCTTTGCATAATTTATATACATGCATCTCCGGCTTGCACATCTGGCATTTTAACAAATATCTAAAAAAAAAAAGAAGGGAAAAAAACTGAAAGCATTTTAGTAAAACGCAATAAGGTAACTGTTATAAATCTAGTTTACAATATTGTTGCTTGGGAAACTAAGAGCATTAAATCAACAGGTAAGTAATAATTAACACACTTCTCTACTTCTGTGTACTTGTATAATTTATTACACCAGCTGGTCAATTGTTCGCAACTATTTAAGCACGTTTTACATAATTACACATGTGTATTTTTTTAACCTAAACCATATATACTCTACAAAATTGATTTTTTTGGTATTAAACTTTAAGAGTTGACTTTATGCTGTAGTAGGCTATTTACCTAGTAATCATATCTTTATACCCTCCGCTTGAAAAGTGGGAGGGTATATAGTAATCGGTATTTCCGTCCGTCCGTCCGTCCGTCCATCCGTCTGTTACGCTTTGGGGTACCCATCTCTTATCCGCAACTCCTCTCATACCACTCAAGGAAATTTAATGAAACTTTCACAGATTCTTAATTACATATTGCCATTGTGCACCTCCTATTTTACTTTTTGATCTGACATATATTCTTGATTTTCCAGAGCAAAACATGGACACTGCCATTATATTCATATGGGAGGCGGGGGGTATCATTTAGTGAGCTCATTGCTCACAGTACCTCTAGTTTTAAATGGTGATTTTGTAAAACTTTATACGAGGAAGAATTTTGATGAATCGGATATGAAATTCTTTATTTAGAACATAAAACACATTATGAATTATCATGTTCTGAAATATTTTCATCTCATGAAAAACGTTTACTGTTTTCCATCAATCCAAGATGTTATTCCCCATGCAAGACCTAGTGTAATACTTCTTAGTATCTTCTTAGTATCTAGCGTGTTTTTCCTTTTTCTTAGAAAGACAATAATTGCGAACTGGCAATTAACTTTTTTGTTTATCGCGATAACGTCTGAATTTTCTATCGTCTGCTTCCATTGTTCATGAAGCATAATACTGTGTTCACCTGTTGATTTGATAGGTAAAACATATTCAACCTAAAAGTGTTTTCTAAACTAAGACAGTATATCTATTTACAAATAAAACAACAATATGAGACAAGCATATCAACAATCTCGGTTAAACTCAACATTATAAAATTCATGTTCGATACAATTATATTATTTGTTAATGAAATCAGCAGAAAAGCAAATGTTAGCTTTTATAAACAATATATTTGATTAATATTTACATTAGAACAATTCTCAAGTAAGCTTGGACTTTCAGTAAGGCTTGGCATTCTCGATGTTACATAATTAGCATCTGAAATTTACACACTTTTCATTCACTGTTGAAATATACATGGGATTCGGGGGAATGCCAGTTGGTGTATCGAATAAATAATAACATTATCTCGTCCGGCAAAGAGATGGAGCTCAAGTTGTCTCATCTTTGTCAACAACAATTTAAAATTCCTGATGTTATTAATTTCGTAACCAATAAGAATCTTCTCGCCATTTGACAGATGCTTATTACGTAGCGCCTAGGATGCAACGCCTTTCTGAATGTCCAAGCTCACATGAAAATGAATCTAAATACTACTTTTTTCTGGTTTTTCCCATCATGACAGGGATGCTTCCTTCTCAATGGCACTTGATCCATGCAATCTTAATACTTTCATCTATCCATGAAGATTTTCCCCATAATTTCTCTTTATTTAAGTTGAGTTTGGAGCTAATAAATTGTTTATTTTCTTGCATTTCATTGGAAATGCGTGCACATACAATCTCAAAATAAGATAATATGGATTACAGAAGTTATCTGCTCTAGTTACGCATATGTTTAAGCTCCAATTGTTCAAAACGTATCTACCGTGTATTTAAATTTATCACTTTGATAACCTTCATCACTTAGAATAAAACTGACTTTAACGATTTTTTTCAACAACATACATTTTCCTTGTGTCTTATGAAGCTTAGGTTAAAATTGACTGATCGTACACTCCCACCCCACCCAATCCCCCTCCCCCCACTTCCAAAAATATAAGCCTTAATTGCCTAAGATTCGTGAGCTTCATACAAGCTTTATGTATTACAAGAACTCATTACGAATGTTAAAATATCAAGAAACATGTTTCCTACACTAGCCTGTTTTGTTGTAGCAAACAAAACTTAATAAAACTTTAATAACATGCATGAATAAGTATACATGTACATGTCTTATTTTGAAAATGCTACATCTAAATTTGCAAATCTTAAATCTATTTTGGCTTAAAATATTACGAATTTTAATGTTAAGATATTTAATTATGCAATTGCAATATTTTACCTCAGGTTGGACAAAAGGGGAGCAAAAGAACCCGATGAGCGCCATTCCTCCAAAAGAGACTCAAGAGAAGAGTTCTTTGTACATAATGGCAAAGCATCTTCGTCCTTTCATAAGTACAGAAAAAATGACGATTCTTTTGGCTGCTGTGTCGTTACTATACGTCATATATATGTGTGAAACGTTAAACAGACTTGATAAAGAAAACACCAAGTCAAAGAGAAACAGATATCTTATGATTGACGTTGATAATCCTTTCGCAGTCATTGTGGATAATTCACAGGATACGTTAATCTCTATTGGAGGAAAACAATTCAATACATTGGTTACTCCAAGTACTGCATGTAAATCTGATCGGATTCGCAATGTAATTATTATTGTGACGTCACCACTAGAAGTTCATGCCCGAAGTGTTGTCAGACATAGTTGGGTAAGTGACTTATTGAAAGATAATGCTACCATTGGATATTTCTTCTTAATTGGATCGGAGGATGAAAATTGGAATCCAGAACATCAAGCAGAACACTATAAGGATATTCTCAGCTTTAATGTCAACTACAGGACTCAAAATACAACAGAATTAGTACTCCTTGGACTGCAATGGGTCATGCAAAATTGCCAAAGCATTAAGCACATCACAAAAGTTCATGGAGATATTTTTGTGAACACTCACCAATTAAGCACATTAATTTATTCACTTCCGGATTCAAAGTTCATGGGAGGAAAATGTGTCGGGACATCAAAACCTAATCGAAATAAAGTCTCGCCATTTTACGTCCCATTTCGAGAGTACAAAAAGGAACTGTATCCTCCAATGTGTTCTACTTCCGCTTACATAATGAGTGTGGATTTAGTGCAAAAAATACTGCAAGCCTTACGAGATGTGCCATATTTTCGCTTAGAAGACGTTTTCATTGGACACCTTTTGTTGCATCTTGGGATCACTCCGCGCAATATTGTCAATTTTCTGACCGATCAATTTCATGAGGGAAATTGTGACATCACAAAAGACGTGTTATTTTTACACGAGGCCGACATAGATCACATAAATATACTTTGGCGCCATTTTATTCGATGTGATTTAACTTTTACTAAGTCAAATAAGAATTTTGTTTTAGAATTTTCTCAACTGAAAAATTTCTCAGGTACTTTTCAAAATGACCATTGAAACATTTTCGGCAATGCACTCTTAAAATTATTTCAAGTATTTAAAAAGAAGAGGCATGCCTATCAGTTATTTCCTTTGCAAATAACACTACACACGCAAGTAGACCACAGTTAATTCTCAAATGTATAGTACATATTTTTACATTTAATCTAAGGTAAACTTGAATTATACGAGTGAATAATTTTATCAATGTGATTATGACGTTGTAACATGACCAAAACATATAAGCACTTTTCTCTCTCCAAAAATTCCTATTCAATATATTCTAATATTTTTTCATAATACAAAGTGTGAACCGAAAAAAAATTGCAATAGTTAAATTTCAATATCATCTGTTTTATCACGTATTCATAATAACAAAATATAAAAGCTTTTGCTTTAAGGTTAAGTAAATGACAGAACGCCATATTTTTTCCAAGAAGAGCATTTTCATTTATGTTTCAAATGCAAAATAATAATTATTCAACTCTCAGAATCATGAAACAAACGTATTTCTTAAGAAGTATTAATGTGTAATTTTGGCTAGAAATGGACTGTTTCTGATTTGCTGATCTCCACAGTTAATGCAGATGACGTAATATCCTGGATATGCCACGTCATAAGTGACCTCATACAAATTGTCTCCCGTGTACACAATACTGGACTCTAGCACAGAGAATGGTCGCGGGCCGTGAATTGTAATTGATATGGCCATATTCTCTTGGGAGTGACACCATACCTAAAAAAATTGTGGACGATATAAAGTTTAGTTTTATAAGTAAAATAAGTTAAGAAATTCAGTTTACATGCTACTGAAAAATACCTCCTTCAAAGATAGAAACAGACACTGATTTCTTTTCTGTCCATATCGATTCAAACTTTTAATTTTCGTAATAAAAATTATAATACAAGAATATGATATTAAAACATAAAAAATGCTGAATGTCGAACAAATAGTTAATTAATATCAGATATTTTTTTGAAATGAATTTTTGCTTTATTTTGCCACAAATAAAGGTTGCTTAGTTGTATTTGACCAAAGAAAATTGTTGTCTTGTAATAAATGTTGGACAATTGTTTCTTAAAATATTGTATATATTTGCCGTACTCTAAGACCATCTTAAAAAGATTGTTTGTTTGTCATCGCCCGCACAAATTGCTAATATAAAACCGACTGGATTCAAAACTCTTTAACCTCCATATTTTTTATTATATAATCTGGAGAAAAGGTTCAACACAGATGTTTAAAGTCCAGTCAACAAATACTAGCATTTTGAAAGTTTCCGAAAAAAAGATTTCCCTACCTACGATTACCCAATAATTTTACCCTGAGTCGGGAGAGGGCAAGCAAACATTCTATTAAAGATTGCCTAAGGAATGCACATTTACCTGAAAATTATTCTTCATTCCTACTTGTCCGATCGTCAGTCCAACTCCTTCTGCTGAACATGATGGAGCAGGATCCTCATCAATGCTTTCGTTAAACCCTGCAATGTATTTTTCAAAGTCTTCACACATGTTGTCCTCATTTAGATCAAATATCTGTTCTGAATCATTGTCATTTGTTGGTGGAAGACATCCATAGCTTGTATATCTCTTGTTGATATCAGGTGAAACAAAATGACAAACGGCTGATATGAACCGTTTATCCTGTGTCAAATTTATTTCTTTTGAGGAACAAAATATTTTTTCAGCATCTTTCGAACTTTGGATATTTTCATCTGAATGCAATAATCTATAAAAGTCCTCACTATTTGATTCTAATCCTTCAGTGTCGTTCATTGTTACAGTTTGGGTGTTTTCGGATAAATGTTTAAAGCTTTGTATGTCATTTAACAAGAAGGTTTTTTCAGCTTTATCTACACCTATCCCAATCTCGGAAAATTCGGAGTTCGAGGATTCTTTCTCAGGATGAGCGTACAGCAGATGCTTATTCTCGGCTTCTACTTCAGCATCGTTTCCATTGTAAACATGGTCAGTTAATTGTCGCTCTGCATGTCTTTGATGCTCTTTGTTTTCCCATTTCTTAAACGTAGAGAGTATTGGAGCAAACTTGACCACTGCAGATCGTAGTTTCCTTCGTTTTCGGCGTTTCCGGATATTGATCGTTGTGATCTCTGTATCTGAAAAACTTGTTGATTCTTCAGGCACTTTTCCCTTTCTTCTAAACGATTTGGATTTATTTCCATCGTTTGTGTCACTTTGGGAGTCTGTATTACTACCACTCATTATCAACCTAGGGTCCAAAACAATGTGTCCTCGGTAAGGGCGTCGATGAACTTTTATATGTCCATTCTGTCGGAATATTATTCTATTCGGATTCCGCTGTAATGGGAAAGCTTCAGCTCTATTCTGATTTTCCTCGGCGATGCCACTATCGATGGTTGATTGGCGTGAATTGGGATCCACATCTTCCTCGTCTGATTCGTCGTGGTGTTGCCCAAAAATAGCACCATCTGAAAAACTTCGAGCTCTGACTGGATTCTGAGCATCGCTTGTTGTAGATGTCTGATTATCGGTGTCATTTTTAACGTACTTTTTACGTCTCCTTATGTTTAAATTGTAAAAAATTGACAAGAACCCTGTTTCTCTTAATATTTCATTAACAGTTACTTGTGTTGTTTTGTTTGCTTTTACCTTTGGTGTTACGACGTGGACTTTAGATGGCACAACATTTGTAACAGTTACAATAGATTTGAACGTAGCTTGGTTGAAGTTGGTCTCAGACTTACCATCCATTACTTTTCTATCTTCTTGTTGATCAATTATTGAAGATTCCTTCTGAATCCCATGAAACTCATTATCATTAACGGATTCCAAATCCAACTGTAGGTCCTCCATCTTGCTGAACTGCCTTTGAAGACCCTTTTTCTTTGAGGACGCGCTCCCTTTGCTGTCTACACTTGATAGACTTTCCTTTCTGTGTTTGATTGGTGTTTTGATTTCTGTCAAAAGATCTAGAGAATGTTGCCTCTCTCTTGGTCCCATGATGGATTGTTCAACTAGAAAATTTGGGTCTGAATCTGTTGAATCAACAGAAAAATGATCTGTTGTCTGGTTATTTAACCAGTACATTGTAGTGGCTCTTTGTTTGGATATAATTTGTTCCCAATTCTTTCTACTACTTTTATATGGCGCTTTTTCAGTTTCTTCTGGCAGTGGTTTGGCAATAGGTGGGCTATAGAGGGCACGCGCTTGTTTATCAACAGATTCTCTTTCAAATTGGGAAATTTTCCATCTTTTTGGATCATCCCAAGGAAATGAATGTGAAGTAGGCGTTGCTAAGCTACTAAGACTTGAAGTAGAAGGCGATGCTGTTGTTGTCATTACTTGCGTTAATCTTTCATTTCTTGTTTGAATTTCAATAGCATAGCGTTTATCCCTTCGTATTCTTTCTAACCTAGACAAACTTTTGTCATAGGGGTAAACATCGTTGTTAAGAATAGGCAGAGACCTCGTCAAAGAAAGAGACTTTTTAGCCTTTCCTAAGGACGCGGTTGAATTACTGCTTGCTGAAGAAGAGCTACTAAACGAATGCTGACGAAACACGTCTCGAGGAAAATTGCAGTCTGAGTTCCTAAAGCTTTTAGATTGAAGAAACTTGAAAGAAGGGATATGTATTTGAAATATTTTACTATCAGATTTCTTCAGTTCTTTCATTTGTCTAAATGTGTTTTGCAAAGCATCAGGAAATGGGGAACATATAAGCATCGAATCTGAAAATGATCTGTTGCATGTTAAAGGTGGTTTTGCACGTTTATTTGAATCTGTTTTACCGTCTTGGAAAGTATTTTTCCTGATCTCTTCGCTGCTGGTGGACACGGAACCCTTTCCTTTTCCATCAGAAGACTTCAATTCCTGATTTGATTTACTTTGATATGTGTCTGAGTTGTCACTGCTATTGTTATGCTCAACACTATGTCTTGCTGATCGAGGTATAATTTTTCGTCTGTATGGCGGAGAGGGTGAGTTTGACTTCCTGATCTGTTCCTCTTCAGTTGAGGTATCTGTCATACTACTCTGACGAGATAGCGTAGGAGAGGGTGACTCCTGTATGACGATTTCCTCCCCATGACGACTTATCACTTTACGTATCACCCGCCGCTTTGTTACCGTAAATTGCTTCTTCATCCGATTTGACCTAGACGATCTACCACTACTCTTTTCTGAATCGCTCTTACTTTTGGTAAAATCTGTTTCTGGGCCGATTTTCAAAAGTCCCAAAGGACGCTCTTCAATAGACGAAAGCGAAAGAGAATCGAAGATGATGCGTTTATCTTTGGCGTCTCTTATTGCTCGCCTTGTCAGATCACGTGGTTGGTAGACTTTAACCTTGAATGGCGATCCTTCGATGTGAAAGTTTTGCCATTTGATCGAAACGGTATGAATTCCTGTGGATATCGGCAGATATGTCATAAGAAACGTCCCCTCTCCCGTGCATTGGCAATTAAACGGAATAACACTTACTGCAGAACTATCACCAAGGAGTTTTAGATTCTTCCAACGAACATATGTATTACCAACAGCATCTTCCATATATTCCATAACGTGATTGTCTATAGAAGCAAGACGCCCTTGTTTTGGCTGTGTTTGATACGCTCCAATCATGATCTCTTTAGACTGATGAAGACTAATAATCTGTTCGCTGTATACTTCATTCTTTGGTCCTTTAATATCAACACCAAGAAGGAACATACCAACAACATCTGACACTGTTAAACTAAACCTCGACTTCCTTCCAACAACTCCACTGACAATTCCAGATCCTTTCACAGTAAATGTCGTCATTTTGGCCGGATTTTCGCTATTGACGTCATTTTGTTTTTTTATTATTCGATTGTTTTCGGAGGCCCATTTTATCATGGAGACATACTTTAGTAGCTTTGGTTCGATGGTATAGTCAGCTATGGCCATTTCCTCCGGAGTGATCATATCCTTAAAATTGAAAGTAAATAATTTTTTAGTGCATTTTATCTTTCACGTGTTGTATGTATATGGTATTTACTTTTAACTCATAATCATTGGATTATACGCGTGATTTTTATGAGCATGGAGCATTTAAGCCTATGACCTACCAAAGGAAGATTAAAACACTGCTGTGAAAGCTTGAGTCCAAGTCGACAGTTGTTTACTCTATTGTGCGGTTTAAGGTGACCGAAGCTGGGGCATATCCCAGGATGCACCGCTTCCAAGAGAGCACACAAGACAATACCATTGTTCCAGCTAAGACTGAAGTCTTCTATGCTGTGTTTTGGAAGCGTCTTTTGCACCCAGGATAAAATTCGCCTTCTCCTGGCAGCATCTTGAATTTTCAAAAACATTTTGAAATCATAATTCAAGACAAATTTTTAATATCTGTTGTTTTACTTTAATTTGATCTGCAATTTATTTTTAAATAAAGGCCTTTATATAAAAAAATTGTAATGAATTTATTGTTTTTTGAATGATATCAATTTTAAAATTCCTGTAATATTTCTTATCATTGGTCAATCTGAAATTAAAAAATCTGAGATTAAAAATTTGATATTTTAAAAATAAATAAACCCAAATTTTAATACTATTCAATGGCTTTTCAAAAAATGGATTATCTGAGTTGAAATATAAATAATTTTCACGAAAACTGATTTAAAATATAAGAAAAAGGATATATAACATAAAATAATAATGTCAAACATTCAAAATCGAACTGTTGATTTCTTACCAGATGACAGTAGATTAAAAATTCTTTCACCGAGCTTTGGTTGTATCACAGTTTTTCCGTTTTCATCCGAATAGTAAAGTTTGCGATGTTTCTCTCGCACTATATAGACCGGATTGAGGTACTTGATGGCACACACATAATAGACAAAACATCGAAAAATATCTTGCAGAGCAAACCAACAAGCTGTTACTCGAGAATCTACAATGTTTAAAACAGAAACTTAAGGTTTAAACTCTTCTATTAAAAAATGTAGGTCAGTTAGTCTATCAGTGGAATTTTTTTTCCCTGGAATTAAATGGGTATTCCAGTATAACCAGGTATTATGCAATTTTTAAAAAGAAATAGAACACTCAACAGACATTCTCTAAGCAACTGTAATCATAAAATTTTTTTAATTAGTAAAGAGGACTCTTGCACTTAGGTTAATATTCTTGGTACATATGTACACTTAATCGATGAATTGTTCGAGTGCAAAAACAGTATTTCTATTGTATCACATTTTTTTCTTTTATTTGAAAAATTGCATGTTACAATGAATAGTAAAGGTACAAGAACACATGGTGATCTGCGCTTCCACAGTATTTCAGCAATATTTTGATTTCTTTACACGAAACAAATCGAATTAATTATTTTTTTTGTAAGTATAGTATCGCCCGCGTGGCGCATTTGTTAGAGCGTCTGCTCTAGAGTCGCGAAGTAAGGAGTCAATCCCTACGTCGCGGATTCGAATCCCACTGTGGGACGTGGAGACCGGTCCTTCGGATGAGACCGTATAAACCGAGGTCCTGTGTCGCAGTAGGTGCTGGCACGAAAAAGATCCCTCCCTGCTCAATGGCCCTGAGTGCTGAGTATTAGAAAAAAATTTGCAGCTCTCCACCGACAAGTGGTGGCGTCCCCATACGAGTGAAAAATTCTCGAGAGGGACGTTAAACAATATACAATCAATTTAAGTACAGTATAAAAAACAGTTTAAATGATAAACTACGGGTCTTTTAGCTTGTCCGATCATTTGATGGAGCACAAGGTGGGAGTGAACGGTCAACATCGCGTGAACAGGGAATGCTCACTCCTCCATGGCACCTGATCCTATCTTTGACTTTTTAGCGGTTCTTATTACCTCTGCTCCCAATTTGTATTGTTTCAATGGCCTTTTGAACTCGAATATTTTTCTCTTACGAGCATCATGGACGTGACTTTTATCCTGCAATTGTGCCAGCGGGATGTAAAACTGATTAGTAATAGATCATACGTAAATTACACATAATAACAATGACAGAAAATGTCGTATATATATTTCAATATATTTTGAGTGACCTAAGTCAGGAAAACCCAATTGTGAAAAATGAATGCATTGTAGGACATAATGTAAATAACAAGCTGGAGCCAGAACAGGCGGTCATGCCAATAGGCAGATGGCGCTGCGAATAGAGCACCTGCTTCGTGGTGAAAGGGTCCCTACATGTATCTGTTGCTCTGCAAAGCCTCGAGCCTCACTTTCACTAATGTCGAATCGAATTAATAGTTGTTCAAGTACCATTCCATTACAGAAAGACACTTTTCACTGCATTATAAGACAGATTTTTATTAGCACAAGGTTTCATTCCCCACCCTCACCGCACCGATACATGCTGAAAGCTCAAAATACCCGCCGTAACCAAATAAATTTATCTTTTTATAATTCATAAACAACATGCAAAGCATATAACTCGACAAAACTGTTTTGGAACAAATATTGGACATATGAAACCTAATGCTGTTACAATAATTCATGTTCCAAGTCGCAGATTCAGATCCAAAGATATATTTCTACATGTTTGGAAAGAATTGCTCGAGCACAGTGTGTTTCTGACAGACTTTTTTACAATATATTTAATAAACATTTCAATACATTTACGACTATTTTAAGAATATAATTTGCCAGAAAGGACAGAACGTTTTGTCTTTGAAGTTTCAAAGTCATTGCGTAGTATTTTTTTTTAAAGGAAAAATATATATATATATATATATATAAAAAATAAGGAGTATCTACATCTGCATCAATCTCAATTTAGAAATATGCAAAATACATATTTATTCGGGGGGTGTTAATCACAGAATCCTGGGAACAGGTGCCTAGGAGGAGCAAACCTTCTCTGTTAACCAGTAACAGTCTAATCTACTGAAAACAAGTGACTAGAACTCGGCCTCAAGCATTTTGTATAAATTAAGGCTGGCATCATATTTATACAATCAAAATTATAGGGTTACCTTGGTTGCTGGTCTTTAGGATACAGGATTTTCGTCTCTGCTTCAGTTTAACAGCCATTTTCATAACCTGTAATACGTGGAAAATGGTTTCAGAACATGCATGTCATTTCTCTGTTTGATTGTATACTATTTTTTTTTTTAATTGCGTGTTTTAGAAAGTTTGGCATTAGTATGGCGAGATAACATATTAAGTATTCCTAAGGTTTATCATAAAAAGTGTCATCAAATATTAAACACAACTTTGTTGCACTATGCGATACAGGGGGGGGGGGGGGGATCAAATTACTCAGTATTGAAAGTACATTGGAAAAAACCCATAAATTACGTATCAGACTGAAAACTTCCACTTAAAAATAAAAATGTAAGTAACGCTTTCAAAACTGAAAGCAACTTACTTTAATTTTGTCATTGAATTACATGTAAAAAAGAAATATTCAAGCATCAAAATTAAGAATATTGAAGATGAAACTCCTCAAATTAGCCATACCCGAGACCAGTATTTTCCGACCCTATACCTTCCAGAAAGGATAACAATGCCGACGTCGTAAATTTTCTTAATTGGTATTATATTCTCATTGATAGCGACTCGCCTGACAGATTCAAGGCGCACATGCCTCATTAGATATACCTAATTTGCGTTGAAACTCCTAAATGAATAAAAAGCAACATCAAAAATTAGTAATCTTGAGAAAATTAGGGGGAACAAAACTTTCTTACCTTTTATAATTATCATCGGAACATTTCTCGAGCATATATACCGATTTTTTTCAAGAACAATATTCTGCCTCCAGAAAAGTCACAAGAACAAACCGTGTATTTAATCAATATAACCGCACCCTTTTAAACGTGTTTATAACCACCTGGATCTGATATTAACAGAATCAGCTGACAGACAGATTTTACCTGTAATATTTTTCTGTAAGATTCCTATTGATTGAAAACTCCTGATGTTGTTTCCACGAGCAGGAGGAAAATCGATGAAAGACTTCTACATCTGAGTACATGTAATATAAGGTTTACATGTACATCTTACATGCTGAGAAGTAATATATGTAATGAGCTTAATGAGGTATATTGTTAATTGATAATAAATGGAATTCTAAAGCTGATGCTAAAAGGTACCTGGGAAACATGCTACCCGCTTAGATAAAAAGTATCAGTATGTTTTAAGTATACCTGTATATTAATTTTTACTAAGGGTCTCTCATGTGCAACGTGTTCATTTTTTTTAGAAGAATGCATACTTAAGAATCCCCCTCCCCCTCCTCCCCCGAAACGCAAGCGTATTCACAATATTGGCGATTTCCAGTTTTTCTTTCTCCCACCCCTCTAATACTTTTTTATTCAATATCTCTTTATGTTATTTATTGATTTATTCATTTTGCTTTACTTTTTCTTCTCTGCTCCACATTTCATTGCGGCCTCTTTATCTAGATTTCCCTCATTATATTCTTATATATGTTGAGGTGAAAAATACAATATTTTATGTACATGTATATAAATGACTTGACAAAATATTTTAATTAGTATTGTTTTAATTTTTTTTATCTTGATGTTTAATCAATTTAACCTGAATGCGCTTTTCAGTTGGTCAGTTTGTATATTTACAGCAACTGCTTTCCTTATTTTGGGTAAAATAAAATGACTTACTTTGTTCTTTACCATAACATGGGGAGCTTTTGCCATATTTTCGCTTAACAATTTACAAGAACATAAAGCTTAGTACTTGCTAAAATTTTTCAATAATTTTTGTTAAAGCTACGTGTAATATTTTATGTTAGACCTTTCATATATTTTAATTAATAACCAAAATAAAACCAAATAGCATAATGTAGATACAGTGAGTTTTATACACTGATACATGTATTCGCACGCACATGGAGAAGTTACATGTCCACTAACACATGTAAACTATTAAATACAATGTTCCCTTGCAACACTTTCTTGTTAGGTGATAATAAACTGAATTAATGATTCATTAATA